GGCTCCCAGCCCGCGGGTCTCAGACCCAGGGGCTGGGCCCCGAGCCCCCCGCCCCGGCCCCGGCTGGGTCGAGCCATGCTGCGCTACCTGCTCAAAACGCTGCTGCAGATGAACTTGTTCGCGGACTCTCTGGCTGGAGACATCTCCAACTCCAGCGAGCTGCTCTTGGGCTTCAACTCCTCGCTGCCGACGCTCAACCACACCCTGCCGCCGCCCGGCGATCCCTCTCTCAACGGTGAGACCCTGCCCCTTGGGGACGTCGGATCCCGGGGCGGGGGCGGGGGGAGAGGGCGGCGTGGAGGGAAGGCGAAAGCGCTCCTCCCGGAGGACCAGGGCCGAGCCGCGCCTCCCAGCGCCTCCCCGGGTCGTGGGGGATAAGGGACAATCTGGAGCTTCGTGCACCTGAGCGGGGGCATCCGCGGGAGGCGATGGCTGCCGAGTCGTTTACACGCACCCCTCCCCCAGCAACCTCCCACGCTCACCCCAGGTGAGGAGACCCGAGGCGCGCCATGGGCCCGGAAGTCCCGAGCCAAGCCTGAACCCCCGCAGGGAGGGCAGAGAAGTGGGCAGGCAAATCTTTCTTCGGGACTTGAAGTTTTCCAAGAACTCGCTTAGGACCAGGGCGAGGGAGCCAACAGGCTGGCTGTGTTTGCTGCGGAGGGGGCAGGGGCGGCGATCATTTCAAAGAAACTTAGAAGTTTGTCTCTTAGCGGCGGGACTGGCAGCCGACCCACCGCGGCAGAGCGGCGGCGGGCGGGCGGCGCTGGCGGTGAGGTCATTACCTCTAATTACGGTGATTAATAAATGACTGAGACAGCGCGCTCTCCCTTAGCACCCCGGGGAAGCTGCGGCAGTGGGCCGCCGCCAGCCTGGGGAGGTGCCCCATCGCGCCCCCTGCCGGCCGCGTCGGGAATTCCCGCTTTCTAAGACGCCTTTGCGGGTGGTTCCCTTCAGGTGTTCCTCGCCCCCATCCCTCAACCTCGACCCATTCGAGTCTAGGGGCGAGCACTGTGCTGGGGACTCGAAGGTGGCAAGAAAGGAGGCCCAGGAAATGTGTGTGTGTGTGTTTATGCATGGGGTACTCCAGGTGCTGGGGGAGGAGCCCCAGAGCCCCATTAGCATGGTCATTAGCTATTCATTAGGCGGCTATCGAAGCATCTCCTGAGACCAGGAATGACAGGGGAGAAATTCCAGAGAAAGGGCGCCTGCAGCCGTGTCTACAGGAATTATAAGGGGGAAAAGACCGACCAGAAGAGAGTGTTATATATGGACGAAGTGGGGAAGGAAGAGGATGGGAAACGAGCCCGGATTCTCCAATCTCGTGATCGTCGTAGGTTCCCAGGAGGTTAAGCACAGAGCCCTCCTCGCTGGCACCCCACATCTCTGCTCACCTAGCGCTTTTACAGAGTGTTTTCATCATGCTTTGCCTCACATAAACTCGAAAACTTAGCGAGGTACCTAGGGAAGGTAGATAGTTGATTGTCACATTTTGCCACCGAAGAAACAAATGTATAGACTGAAGGGTACCCTAAATGGTCACAAAAGCAGTATGAAGCAAAGCCTCGGCAATAATGGATCAAAGTCTATTTCCATTACACCTGAGGGCTCTATGAAGGGGCTGGGGAAGACTATTGGGGCTTGGTAGAATCCAATTCAGGTGGAGACCGTAGGAGCGAAGATAAGTTGGGGTGTGCTGGGGAGGAAGAGCCATTAAATAATGGTAGAATAGCTACATTTATCCCTCAAGTGCTTTACCTACATTACGGTCTTGTGACACCCCCATCACTACACCGCTATACAGATAAAGAAACTGAGACTCAGAGAAGTTAAATAATATGCCCAAGTCCTTTTGGAGATTCTGAGATTCCAGCCCTGATTGGTTCAATGCCCAGACCTGAGCTCTTAACCACCCGGCAGCATTCACCATGGGGTGCTCCCAAGTTGGAACTGGGATGAGAGGGAGGCGATTGAGAAGCAGAGATTTCCACTGGGAAGGGAGGAGAGGGAGACAATTCCTCCTTTGATCCGTTATTGCTGAGGCTTTGCTTCATACCGCTTTTGTGACCGTTTAGGGTACCATCCAGTCTACACATTTGTTTCTCCGGTGGCCAAATGAGCCTATCAACATCTTCCCTAGGAGTCTCACTAAGCTTTCACGTTTATGTGGGACAAGTGAGAGAGAAACAGATCTTGTCTCCAACCAGTTCAACTCCCCAGGACAGCGCCAGCACACATCAACCCGTCCAGCTTTGTCTACACCAGAACTTATAAGAGAAGGGGCGGGAAATGAATCCCAATCCCACACCCGGGCTGGAAGTGACAAGGCCCCACGGATTTTGGAACAGGATGGGAGGGGTGGGGGGAGGTGCAAAGCATGCCTGGAGACCCTGGTAACACCAGATGACGTGAGGCTGCAGCGGCACCTATTGGCCGCCAAGGGTTACAGATCCACTTCCGAAGGCGAGACTGGGAGCTAAGGATGTGGAAGTCGGACAGGCTCCGGCCTCTGGAATCCCAAACCGCGCGGCAGAAGGGGAAACGGGCAGAAGGCTGTAGTCCAAACGAGAGGCAGGGGCAGACTGCGGACAGGTGAACTAGGGGAGTAGAGAAGTCCCCTTTCCCGTGGTTTTTAGCCTTTCTTGGCTACATCAACCAGTAGAATAATTGTTGAAACTATGCACCTCTCCGGGAAAGGAGCCTTACTATCTTTTCCACCACCGTTTGCGTTCAAATCCTGTGACTTCACGGGACCCAGGGAAGCGGAAGCGTGGTCACCTGGGGTGTCAGTTAAGAAGGGCTCTGTGCTTATCCATGGAGTCCAGGTTAGGAGTCCCTTCTAGTCTCAGCCCCGAGCCCTACTGCTCGCGTCTTTCCTTAAGGGACCCAAAGCCGGTCCACATTCCCCATCTCACCGACAGGGACCTCGTGGAGAAGAAAAACCAAGCGTTGGCTCCGGTGCACCGCTAGGGTCGTTCACTGGGCAAGGACGATCCGCAAATCAGTGCGGGTGGGAGACTGAACACCACCGGGCTAGAGGCGTGGGCGCTGTCTACGCACCAAACCGCGGTCCAGTCACTTCTCAATGAACCTTGGCGGGAGAGGAGGCGGGGCTCTTCAGGGCGTCCAGAAAGTCGCCCTAAGAGTTTGTGTCCTGTTTCCTCTACCGATCCGCCTGTCTGTAGGCCTCTCCTCTGGCGACTAAAGGGCGTGGGAGCGTCTGCCAATAAAGCGATATTGGAGCCTACAGAGGGACAGGGTGGGCAAGGGCAGGCAGGCGGAGACTGAGCTCTAGCAGACGAAGCATAGGAGATGAGACGACCAGAGGGTTCTTTCTCTCTGGAGCGTCAATCTCTCCCCCAAAGGCCCGGCCTGACCTCTTGCGCCCCCGTCCCCAGGGTCACGAGTCGGGCCGGAGGACGCCATGCCGCGCATCGTGGAGCAGCCACCAGATCTACTGGTCTCCCGGGGCGAGCCGGCCACGCTGCCCTGCCGCGCCGAGGGCCGACCCCGACCCAACATCGAGTGGTACAAGAACGGGGCGCGCGTGGCCACTGCGCGCGAAGACCCGCGCGCGCATCGCCTGCTGCTTCCCAGCGGTGCCCTCTTCTTCCCGCGCATCGTGCACGGGCGCCGCGCGCGGCCGGACGAGGGTGTCTACACTTGCGTGGCTCGAAACTACCTGGGGGCAGCAGCCAGTAGAAACGCCTCGCTGGAAGTGGCAGGTGAGAGTCCCGTGGTCGCCATCTGGTTGCTCTCAGAGGCCGGAGGGCACGGGGCAGTCCGACCCAGAACAACCCCAGGGAAGGAGCCCATTTAGCTTCTCCCTTTGGCATCGTGCCATTTGGTCTCCAATGTCCGCACCACGGCCAGAGAAGGAAGTACACCCGGCGCTAGCCTGGTGTTTTCGCACCTGGGAGAGAGTTCTGGTCTGTGAAGCTCAACCTCTCCCCAAGGCAACACTCTCCTTGCGTCCTCACGCGGTAATGCCACCTAATGCCTGCTTATTCTCCCTGTCTCTCCAGTCCTTCGAGATGATTTCCGCCAGTCTCCTGGGAACCTGGTGGTGGCAGTAGGGGAGCCAGCAGTCCTGGAATGCGTGCCCCCCCGCGGCCACCCGGAGCCCTCCGTGTCTTGGAAGAAGGATAGTACAAGAGTCAAGGAGGAGGAGGGAAGGATCACGGTGAGGGGCGGGGCCTCGGCTGGGGACAGGACCCAAAGGATGAAGGCCTGAATCTAAGTGTCTTAGAGGTGATGAGGTGGAAGATTTGGGATCAGGGCATCAGCTGGTCAGAGACTGAGTCAACTATTGGGTCAGCCATTGAGTGAGGGATAAAAATGAAATTGATATAAAAAAGAAAGGTGGGGAACAAGATGTCCCAGGGACTCCTTACCTGTTATGTGGGTCAACTTCATTGGTCTTTATCAGCTTGCTGTGAGGATCAACTAAACCATATATAAACTGTATATGTATATACTCGTATATACACATACTATATATACACTTTATGTATATGCTTTATACACATGCACACACGTATATACTTTGTTGGCTCTGAAGGACCAAAGCTACCATTATTACTCTGCAGATCCGTGGAGGGAAGCTGATGGTGTCACATACACTCAAGAGTGATGCAGGGATGTATGTGTGTGTGGCTTCCAACATGGCAGGAGAACGGGAGAGTGGGGCAGCTGAACTTGTGGTACTGGGTAGGCACAGGGAACTTTGGAGTTATGGGAGCGGGGAGCCTGGGGAGTAAGTAGCTATGCAGACCCCTGACTGTTCTCCCACTCCCACTCCATAGAGCGTCCCTCATTCCTGCGTAAACCAGTGAATCAAGTGGTCCTGGCTGATGAGCCTGTGAATTTCCTGTGTGAGGTGCATGGGGATCCCCCACCTCGTCTACGCTGGCGCAAGGAAGATGGAGAACTGCCCACGGGCAGGTGAGAAGCCCACTCTTCCTGCCTGTAAGGAGACCCACCCAGCTCAGGAGCCCACCCTGCCCTAGAAAACTGGAAAACAGGCAACTTCTCACTTGAGAGCACACAGCAATCTATTCCCCAGGGCCTGTGGCCCCTGTCCTATCCAATCCCTATCTCCATTCATGGGTCCATGGGTACCAACATCTATCCCTGTTGAGTCCTGCCTTGTCTTTACATACCTGACCCTGGCATCTGCACTGGGGGAAAGAGAAGGTGTCTGTAGCTGTGACCAACCCAGTCTGGGGTGGGGAATGGAGCAGGTATGAGATCCGGAGTGATCACAGCCTTTGGATTGGGCGTGTGAGTGCTGAAGATGAGGGGACATATACCTGTGTGGCGGAGAACAGCGTGGGCCGTGTGGAAGCATCTGCCTCCCTCAGTGTTCACGGTGAGGGCCCTACCTGGGACTGCCTGCCACGGGGAAGATATAAGGGAAGATGGAGAATGGGCTGGAGTGGAGGAGGATGGGGGAGAAGGGGCAAAGCAGATGTGGGTGGGGCACCTGAGACTTCTTCAAGGAGAGGGAGGAGGAGGATGCTAAACAGGCTTGAGCAAGAAGACATGGATATCTGCTGCTACTTAAGCTAAACTTGGGCTTCTCTCTCCTGTTCCCTCAGCCTCCCTTCTTAGTGCCACTGACATCTGTCCCTTTATCTCAACTCCCCTTCCCAGTCCCACCTCAGTTGGTGACCCAGCCCCAGGACCAGATGGCAGCTCCTGGAGACAGTGTGACCTTCCAGTGTGAGACCAAAGGAAACCCTCCACCTGCCATCTTCTGGCAGAAGGAGGGGAGTCAGGTAGGCGGCCATCTCCAAGGCACTTCACACCAGCCTTCCTCTGCGTCTCAGCCTCCCTCCCTCCATATTCTGCAAACTTATCTCCCGAGCTTCTATTTTACCTTTGGTAGCCCTACCCCGGCCCCCAGAAACCCTTACAGGTTATTTAGGAGGATTAAATAAGATAATGAATATAAAAGGCCTGAAACATATTGGACACTTTCTATTTTTTTCATTTCTTTTTTGAGTCAGTCTCACTCTGTCACCCAGGCTAGAGTGTGGTGGCACAGCTCACAGCTATTGCAGCCTCAACCTGCCAGGTTCAGGCAGTCCACCCCCCTCAGCCTTTCAAGTTGCTGGAACCACAAGGACATACCACCACACCTGGCTAATTTTTTAATTTTATTGTAGAGATGAGGTCTTGCAAAGTTGCCCAGGTTGGATTCAAACTCCTGAGTTCAAGCAATCCTCTCACCTCTGCCTCCCAAAGTGCTGGGATTGCAGATATGAGCCACTGCGCCTGACCATTGGACACTTTTAAATAAATGATAATATATTTAGGTGTAATGAAACAGTCCTGAATGGTAATCTCTTGGAGAATCTTTCTATGTTGGCCTAGGCTGTCCTGAAAATGTAGCAAACTCAGTTAGTTTCCTCCTTCTCCAGGTCCCTTGGACCTTGGCTTTTGGATATAACCTACTGCTCTAGAAACCGAATATTGAGTCAAAGTCACCCAGGGTAGAAAATTACTTGTTCTTCTACTTATAGCAGCTCATAATAGCTGCCAAGGGACTACTACAAGGGAAGTTCACGGTCATCCCTCTTCAGCCTAGTGAACAACTCCCAGAAAATACAACTGGAATGAACATTAACTAAAGTTACAGCATAAATAACTCCCTCTAAAGGAAGGGTGGGAACTTTGCTACAGGGAACTTTCTACAGAAAACAGGATCACGTAAAATAAAATAAGTCTAATTAACCCTACTCCTGGGAAACCAGGCAACCTCTTACCTCATCCCAAATCTACAGCCACAGTTTTCCAACATCTTCTCTAATACCTGGTACTGTTGCATTTTAATTAGATTTTCACATCATTAAAATGGCAAAGGTAGTAGGTACATGTAAGTATCAGACAGGTATTCGGCATGGTGCCATTTATCCCGAGAATCAAACCTGCTTTCCTATCTTCTATGTATTTATCTAATGAAAAAATGTGAAAGCCAGAAAGAAAGGGAAAGTATTTGGCATTTATCATGCAATGTTAGAAGACTTTCATGTGATTGCTTCATGTAATCCTCATAACTAAGAGTCACATTTGGGGAAGCTAGGGTTCAGACAGGGTAGATAACTTGCTCAGAGTTTCCCAACTAGTAAGTCACAGAGCTGGGAAGTAGCTTTCAAAATTGTCTAATAAAATTCCCTGATTTTTTGGAATAAGTTTAACTAGTTTGTCCAAGGTCACATCACTAACTGGGGCAGAATATAAACTAGAACCCTAGGAATTCTCTGGATTCCAAGATTGATGGGAACAAGCTCTCTTCCTGCCCAACTGCCTGCTCATTCTCTACCTTGGTTCCTTGCGATCCTCAGGTCCTGCTTTTCCCCAGTCAGTCACGTCAGCCTTTGGGGCGCTTCTCAGTCTCTCCAAGAGGCCAGCTCAACATCACTGAAGTGCAGAGTGGGGACGCTGGCTACTACGTGTGCCAGGCTGTCAGTGTGGCTGGCAGCATCTTGGCCAAGGCCTTATTGGAGGTCAAAGGAGGTACATGCCCTTGGAGACAAGGCTGGATCCATGGCTTGGAAGGGAATAATAGTCTAAAGAGATCTGTTTCTCTTGAATTCCATCCATTATGTCTACAAGGGGAAGGGTGTGTTCCTGTACCATATCCTTGAAGTTTGGAAACCAGCAGCTGAAGCCACTAATAGATGGCTGGTCCCAGACAGAGACCACAGATGATTATCAAAGCCCCAGGGGGTGGTGGGATGGGGAGGAAAGTGAAGAGTTAGAGAATGAGGGCAAGGGGCTGGTTGCCTGGCCCTAGATTCCTCCCCTGAGATGCCCAAGTTCTTCTTCTCTCAGCTTCCTTGGATGGGCTGCCTCCTGTCATCCTCCAGGGACCAGCCAATCAGACGCTGGCACTTGGATCCTCTGTGTGGCTGCCATGCAGAGTGACCGGAAGCCCTCAACCCAGTGTCCGGTGGAAGAAGGATGGGCAGTGGCTGCAGGGGGATGACCGCCAGCTCAACTTAATGGCCAATGGTACCCTATACATAGCCAACATGCAGGTGAGTGTCACCTCTGGGGTCTCAGTAACTGAGAATGACTACCAAGTTCACCTTCCCAATGATAGGAAGTAACCACTGGGCCTCCAACCCCATTTCTACCCCACTGTTCTCTCAAACCACCTAAAGTGTCCAACATCCTCTCCATCCCCACCTTTCTATTACCCGCCTCTACTTCCTCACCTTACCTTGTTCCACTCCCAATTTGCCAGTGCTCTGCCCTCTCCTACAGGAGATGAACATGGGTTTCTACAGCTGTGTGGCCCAGAGTTCCATAGGGGAGGCCACATGGAGTGGCTGGCTTAAGATTCATGGTGAGTTTTTTTTTTTTTCCTTTGTTTTGACAGCACCTTCCTCCAAACCTGCTTCAAAGATAGTCAATACCTCCCCAAACCTCAGGACTAATTTTAATTTCCAAAAGCCATGGCCATGGTGGTGGGATGAGGAGGACAGAAGTGGTGCCTGTGGGAGGCAGACATGAGCTGGAGTTAGCATACTGTGTCTTCCTCTGATCTTCACCTCTGCTCAGAGCTCCGCAGCTACTCTGGGAAGGAAGCAGGTTATACTAGGATTATCCTTTCCCCATCCTTCTACTTAAAGATGGCCTCCCATTGCAGAAGACTGGGGAGTATCACCAGCCCCCCCTACAGAACCCAGGACTCCTCCAGGTCCTCCTTCTCAGCCAGTGGTCACTGAGATCACCAAGAACAGCATTACCCTGACCTGGAAGCCCAATCCTCAGGCTGGGGCCACAGTCACCTCATATGTGATAGAGGCCTTCAGGTATGGAGAAAGTTTTGAATGCAAGCCTGGAGAGTTAAAAGGAGGTGATTCTATGTCCTTAGGGTCTTTGCTATTGTGGGGTGCAATTCTCCAGGATCCTCGTCCAAGGTGAGGAGGTAGTGGGGGTCCATAGAGAATGAATGAGATGAAGTAAACAGGTTGGGGGTTCCTGGCTTAAACAACCCTGTCACCTCCTTCCTGTTGTAGCCAAGAAGCTGGCAACACATGGCGGACAGTGGCAGATGGTGTACAGCTGGAGACACACACGGTCAGTGGTCTGCAGCCCAATACCATCTACCTGTTCCTGGTGCGAGCTGTGGGATCCTGGGGCCTCAGTGAGCCCAGCCCTGTCTCAGAGGCTGTTCGCACGCAGGGTAAGGTCAGAGTCCCTGAGCTCATGGGTAAGACATGCAGTGTTATAGGGCACCCCCTCCCCCAAATCATAACACCATGGCAGTTCACAGAGCTCTTTCCTGCTATGCCAGATCTATACTGGTGACCTGGCTTGGAATAGGAGGCCCATGTTTCCCTCTCATAGAGACAACAGAGGAGGGAGGAAGAGAGAATGAGTAGAGGGGAAGGGAATGAGGGAATAAGTGGAGGGGAAGGAAATGAGTGCAGGGGGTGAGGGGAGGTTTAGTTCATCTTGGAAGCTTCTCACTTCTGAGTCTATTACTCATAGATAATACAGATTATTAAGACTAGAGGTGTCGTCTTCATGTTATAGATGAGGGACTGAGGCCTTTAAAGGATGCATAAACAGTTATGCAGGAAGAACACTCATGTTAGCTGGACACTTGGACCCACTTCTGGATGATGTTCTCCTGACCAGCCCCCTCCTGACTCTGGGGTGTGCTTGGGAGTACTAAGTGGTACAGTCCATGGGGAGGGCAGAGGTAGGGCACAAGCACTCTCTCAGTCCTGTCTCCCTGCCCCTCGTGGTGCCTGCTGAGTGGGCTCTTTGGTCAACAGATAGCAGCCCGCCCAGGCCCGTGGAGGATCCATGGAGAGGCCAACGGGGACTGGCTGAAGTAGCTGTGCGCGTGCAGGAGCCTGTAGTCCTTGGGCCCCGGACCCTGCAGGTGTCCTGGACTGTGAGTGTGACATAGGGATGAGGCTAAGGGCAGGGCCTCCAAGAGTGAGCTTGGGAGGGTAGGAGATGAGGGACTGGGGAAAGAGGCATGGGTCGAGGGGGGCCTGGAGGACCTGTGTGGCCAGAGTCTCCCCTGCTGATACGCCTCATCCTGTCTCTTGCAGATGGATGGTCCAGTCCAACTGGTGCACGGTTTTCGGGTGTCTTGGAGAGTAGCTGACCATGATGGGGGAAGCTGGACAGTGCTGGACCTACAAACCCAAGGCCAGCAAAGTACTGTACTAAGAGGACTCCCCCCAGGGACCCAAATCCAGATCAAGGTGCAAGCCCAAGGCCAGGAGGGGCTGGGAGCTGAAAGTCCCTTTGTGACCAAGAGTATTCCCGAGGAGGGTAAGGAGGGCCACGGAGCTAACAGATGGACAGGAGGGAAGAGGATGTGGGGGAGGATGGGAGTTTGCAGGGGGGGAGAGAAAGGTGAGTAGGTGAGGAGGTTCTCTGAGATGCTGGAACAGGACGGAGGAAGGTTGGGGCAGGAGGGGCAGCTTGCAATGACTATTTGTGTCCTTCTCACCATGCTCCACCCTGGCCCAGCCCCCAGCGGTCCCCCCCAGGGAGTGGCAGTGGCCTTGGGGGGTGATGGCAACAGCAGTATCACTGTGTCCTGGGAACCTCCACTCCCTTCTCAGCAAAATGGGGTCATCACAGAATACCAGGTACAGGGTTTGAGAAGGAACCGACTGGGAGGGCCCGGCCAGGAGGGAGAGGGAGGACCTAGGGGCTAAGACTAGAGTGGAGGGAACCGAGAGCTGACTTTGGAGCTGAGATGAAGTTAGAGGAGAGGAGAGGTTTCGGAGTGATATCTCCACTTCGAATATGCCTGTGGAAGCCCCCTAAACCACTTGGAGCCTCAATTTTCCCAGTGGGGCCAGAATCCCACTTCTGACTCTAAACCCGCGACTCGGTCTCCCTAGATCTGGTGCCTGGGCAATGAGAGCCGCTTCCACCTCAACCGGTCTGCGGCGGGCTGGGCACGTTCCGCGATGCTCCGGGGACTCTTGCCCGGTCTCCTCTACAGAACCCTCGTGGCGGCGGCCACCAGCGCTGGCGTGGGCGTGGCCAGTGCCCCTGTGCTGGTGCAGCTGCGTGAGTCCGGAGGTGGCCGTGGGAGGTCTGCGCGGGGGACCTTAGGAACCGGGCCCGGGGGGAGCTGTGCCTGCGGGGTCGGGAACGGCCCTTTCCCAGCTCCTGGGTTTCGGGCCTCTCCTCCCCTCACTTCTCTGACCCCCCCACAGCATCCCCGCGGGAACTGGAGCCGGGGCTGGAGGCGAGCCCCGGGCTGGCGGAGCGGCTGGCGAGGGTGCTGCGGGAGCCGGCTTTCCTGGCGGGCAGCGGCGCCGCCTGCGGGGCACTGCTGCTCGGGCTCTGCGCCGCCCTCTACCGGCGCCGGAGGCAGCGCAAAGAGCTCAGTCATTACACGGGTGAGAGCCGGGCCTGGGGGCGCGGGCCTGGGAGGGGACGGAGCCAGGAGGGAATGAGGCGGGCCCGAGGGGGAGGGCGGGGCTCCGCCGCTCCGCGAGCGCGGCCAGGGTCGGGAGGGAAGGGTACGCACCGGGGGAGAGAGCCGGCTAAGAGGGGGCGGGTCCTGGATCTGGGGAGAAGGGTGTTTTGTACCGCTGACGCCTCCAGAAGAGGGTGGGCTTTGCAACTGGGTCTCAGTAAAGAAGGGGCGAGTCTAAGGAGCCTGGCATGAGGGGATGTGGTCAGGTTCCCAGGCAGTGAATAGTGAGACGGGGTTCTGGATGGAAAAGCCGGGCCTGCTGGAAGGAGGTGAGCTGAGTTCTGCTACTCCCTAGTAAGGGACGTCTCTGGAGAGCTTCCGAGGTCTCTGAGGTCAGTGGTTTCCGGTCTTGACTGGCTACATATAGAAATCACTGGGGAAGCTTTAGAAAAATGCTGATACCTGAGTCCCATCCCCAGAAATTCGGATGAAATTGGTCCAGGGTGCGACCCGAGTGGTGGAATTGGGACCAGGGCCAAGCAGTAGACAAGCACATGGGTATGTCTGATCCTTCTCCTCATTTCCCCTTTTCTTTCTCCCCCGGGTTCTTTTTGGAAGCCTCTTTTGCCTACACACCTGCAGGTAAGCCATCTCTGCCCCAGTGGGGTTCAGACCCTCCCCAGGACGGGCTCTTCTCTCACCCGTTCTCCCCCTCATCTTCCCCAGTGTCCTTCCCACACTCAGAGGGCCTCTCTGGAGCCAGTTCCAGGTAATTCTCATGACCTGTCTTTTGAGGATAATTTCCTCCAGGGAGAGACCACTCTCCATCCTCTCCAGGCCTCACTGCTTCCCATATTGAGTGTCTCGCACTGCCTTGCACCCAAAACACCATCATTACAGTCCTTGACTCTCAAGAACCGCCACCTCCCGTCCCTTTGCTGACCTCTTCAGGCTTTCCATCCTCAACGTTCACCTGCTCTCCCTCAGGCCACCCATGGGCCTTGGCCCTGCCCCCTACCCATGGCTGGCAGACTCATGGCCCCACCCATCTAGAAGTCCCTCAGCCCAGGAACCCAGGGGAAGCTGCTGCCCTAGCAATCCTGACCCGGACGACAGATATTACAATGGTGAGGAGTTCTAATTCCCTCAGGGGCACACTTGGGCCTCAGCACACGTCTCTCAACCTATTTGGGCAAACCGAAGGGAGGCCCAGTCTTCCTGAGATTGCTAAGTCCTTGCAGAGGATGTGAGTTACGGACACTCTCTCAGTCTTGACCTTTACCCTGGTTTGGGATGTAAGGTTCGGAGTCGGGGAAGAAGTTGATCCCGTAGGATCTCCTTTTGCCCTGTATTCTCCTATTGTCCTCTGTTTTCCTGTCTCTGCCTCCTTGCCTCCTCCCCTGGGCCTCCCTCTTTCTCCTCCTCAGAAGCAGGAATCTCCCTATACCTGGCTCAGACGGCCCGGGGCACGGCTGCTCCCGGCGAGGGTCCTGTCTACAGCACCATTGACCCAGCTGGGGAGGAGCTGCAGACCTTCCATGGGGGTTTCCCCCAACATCCCTCAGGGGATCCAGGCACCTGGAACCAATATGCTCCTCCAGAGTGGAGCCAGGGGGACAATGGTATGACTCCAACTCCTGACACCCTTGTTTTAGCCCTTACCAGAGTGTCCCCTAAGAGTCTCCTTCAGCTTGACCCTCTGGCACCTAGCTTGGCACTTGCTTCTGATATGTTGTCTCAACTCTGGCTCTTTCCTGCCTGTTCTCGGTGTGTCCCCATCCTATGCTCCATAGGAGCCAGGGGAGGCAAAGTGAAACTTCTGGGAAAAACAGTGCAGATGCCCTCTCTGAGTTGGCCAGAAGCCCTGCCCCCACCTCCCTCTTCCTGTGAACTGAGCTGCCTAGAGGGGCCTGAGGAAGAACTGGAGGGCAGGTAAGGATGCTCCCTGTTGTGGAGGCCCATACACCTGGGACCAGCCCAGGGCTCTTGGTGAGGCACAGAGGCATCAGCAGAGCAACAGGAAGGCCAAGAGGAAGGGATGGAGGCTATGCAGTCCTTCCCTTCTCTTCCTTCTCTTTGCCCCCAGTTCAGAGCCAGAGGAGTGGTGTCCACCAGTGCCTGAGAGAAGCCACCTGACTGAGCGCAGCTCCAGTGGAGGGTGTCTGGTCGCTCCATCTCGAGGGGAATGCCCCTCTCCCACATCCTCCTATGGACAGCAGTCCACAGCCACTCTTACCCCCTCACCTCCTGATCCTTCCCAGCCCCCCACTGACATATCCCATCTCCATCAGATGCCCAGGTAGGGAGGTATAGAGCACTTCACACATTGCAAGCCCTTGGTACATATCTATTCAGTGGATGACTGGATGGATGGATGGATGGATGGATGGGTGGGAGGATAGATGACTGAATCTGGACTACATAGATCTCAGGGCTGTGTCAGGGTCAAAGTGTGATTTGGGAAGGAACGCAGAGGCTGACAAAGTCTCTCACTCCCTTCAGACTGTCTCTGTTAGAGTGACTTTGCAAGCTTCCTGAGACATTTCAAACATGGGTCTCCGAATGCTTCCCTAACTTGGGAGGCTTTGTAGTGGATGGACTGTGTCTTGTTCATCTGGGTATTAGGCTGAGTGTCTAGCACAGTGCCTGGCACATAGTAGGCACTTAGTTTGTGTGGGGGGGAGCAAATGCTGGGGCCTTATGTCATTGCAGGAGGGTGCCCCTTGGACCAAGTTCCCCTCTCAGTGTATCCCAGCCCACTCTGGGCAGCCATGAAGGGAGGCCTCCTGGCCTGGGCGCTGGCCCCACAGTCTCCCATCACCTCAGCCCCAGCCCTGCCCCTAGTACAGCCAGCAGTGCCCCAGGTGAGTCTGTGGAACCTCAACTCGCCTCTCTTACCCCCCGCCAGTGCTTGTTTCCCCTTCACCCTCAGGTCCTTTCCTGATTCTTTCCCTTACCTCTTTCCCCATGTCCTAATGCTACAGGGAGAACCCGGCAGGGGGCTGGGGAGATGACTCCCCCACTTCAAGGACCCCGTGCCCGAATTCGGAAGAAACCCAAGGCTCTTCCCTATAGGAGGGAGCACAGTCCTGGAGGTGAGAGGGGCATGGGCCTGGGAGGTGGTGACAGTCATGGAGGACAGGCAGGAGACCAAGGGTGAGCTCTGGGGGCTGGAAGAGGGAGTAGGTAACCCCAAGTCTTGGGCTGTTCATTGGCAGCCTCCAGGTGCCAGGGAATGGAGGTGGGAGAAAGGATTGTATCAGGAGAGGCAGGAGACTGTGCTGAAAACAGGTGCCTCCTCAGACTTGCCCCCACCACCCTTGCCACCGCCAGAGGAAGAGGCAAGCTGGGCCTTGGGGCTGAGAGCAGCAGGCAGCACATCCTCCTTGGAACGGGAGCGCAGTGGGGAGAGGAGAGCAGCACAGGCCATGCCCCTAGGGGCCCAGCGGGGGCCCCACCCAGAGGGTAAGGAGGGCCAGGGCAGGCGGGAGGGCCGATGCCACAGGGAAAGGTGGGTGTTGGGACTAGGGGCTAATAGTAGGACAGGTGGTGCCCAGCTTACCCCTCCCTTCAGTTGGGTTCATGCGTTTGATCCACATCAAAGACTCCCTTGCCTCTCTAGCTCTTTCTGAGCACAATTGCCTGAAGTCCCGAGTCGTGTCCTTTCTCTGGACTGAAGTCCAGATGAGAGGCCAGTGGGGTCTGGATGCTCTGTCCCCCAGGCTTCCTCTGCTTGGGAATTCCCCACAGGGTTCCGAGAACCTTAATATCAAGGCCATGCGCTGGGTGGGCACTCTGCTTCTTCTCAGCCCCCCATGCCGGCTCATCAGTTTTCTCCCAGAGCTGGGATTGTGGCCAAGGTGACCAGGTGGGCAGGCAGTGATGTTCTGTTCCCGGCTTGGGTCCGGCTGCCCTTCTCTCTTGTGCTGCAGAAGAGGCCTGGCTCCCGTTCAGCAAACCAAGCTTCCTGTCTCGGGGCCAGGGCACAAGCACCTGTTCCACAGCTGGCAGCAACTCTTCCAGAGGCTCCAGCAGCTCTCGGGGCTCCCGTGGCCCTGGCCGGAGTCGGAGCCGGAGCCGGAGCCAGAGCCAAAGGCCAGGACAGAAACGTCGAGAGGTGATCAATAGAAATCACGGAAGAATGAGGGCAGACAGAATGAGGGAAGGTGGGCCAGGCGTTGACTGAAAACAGGAAGGTAGAAAAGGGCTTGCAGAGGAGTGTCAAAAGGAGGGGATCCTGAGAGTGAGGGGAGGGAGGAATCCTGTAGAAGAAGTGACAAGGGGTGAGAGCAAGATGGCACATGATAGAGGAGCCTGGGTTCCCCATAGGAGAACTGGATCAGGAGGAAGTCTGAACCAAGCTTGTGGCTTGTTTGCTCTGGGCAAAGGCTTTATAAAACAGCATCTCTCTCTCTCTCTCTCTCTCTCTCTCTCTTTCTCTCTCTAGGAACCAAGATGACCCTTGATGAGGCAATGAGAATACTGGGGGTTCCATGGGAATGAGAATAGGAGTTCCTCCCATGGTCAGGGAGGGTGGGAGCAAAGAGGAGCAGGGATGGGTGTCTCTTCCCTCCCAGCAGTGATGTGTGGGGCTCACAGAAGCCCATCAGCTTCCACAGCTTCCATTGGCTGAGAAGCCAGAGAGCCAGCTCTTTCCTTTTCATCTCTTTCTGAGACCTGTTTGTAAAAAAAACCAAAACAATAAAAAGAGTTTGATCAGAGCCCTGGGCCCTGTTTGTCTGGTTTTGTGCAGAACATCAGGAAGAAGAGGGCTACGAGGGCCTGAATATCAATGCACATTGGTAGCTTCAGCTTCCTTTTGAATTGTCAAAAGTACTAGGTAAGGACAGGTGTTAAGAGACACTGATCTGTCCTACTTCCTGAAGGAGTGGAAACCTACCATCCCCTAGTTACAACCATAGCGACTTTCCAAATGGCCAGTAATGAGAAACTTGTCCCATCTTTGGAGGATCAAGCCAGGTCCTTCTTTAGCGCCCTCATCTGGGGCCTAATTATAAGGAAGGACCCCCCCCAATGAATTTATGTATTAAAAATTGTGTTTGTATTCTTATATGTCTAGACTCTAGCCACCTTCAAAGTACTCTCCAGCTGATGTGATACACCTATTGAGATGCTTTTTCTACTGCTCAAAACAGTTTTTGAACTCATCGATTTTGATGGCTGTTAGTGCTTCTGCTGTTTTTTTTGTTTTACCTCTCCCACATCGGCAAAGTGTTTCCCTTTGAGGACTTTGTTCATCCAGGGAGACAAAAGTCACTTGGGATGAGATCTGGTGAGTAGGGAGGATGGGGTTTAGGAGTTATGCTGTTTTTGGTAAAAACTGCTGAACACTCACTCAGTGCAGGGTGGGCAGGAGCATTGTCATGGTGGAAGAACTAGTCATCTGTTTGCCATTACTCAGAACATTGCTTCCACAAATCATGATGCAACCTTCTCAAAACTTCCAGATAAAAACTTTGGTGGACCATTTGATCCAGAAGTACTACAAGGGCCCACCTTTCAAAAGATAATCCAGGGTTTTTTGGGTCCCCCCTCCTCATATTCCTCTGTAAGGAAACACACCCCTCACAATAAAAACAATCTTAAAAACTCAAAGGAAGGAGGATCTTATGGAGGAAACTCCAGGCAAAAAAGAAAAGCATGTTTTTTCAGACCCCCTGACTCCCTCATAACGTGTAAACGTGCACCTCTTGGCCAGATTGGGTCCAGATGTGATTGGGCTGTCTGGCTCAGAATTGTTAAAAACTTTTGACTGTGAATGCCAAACTCCCTATCGCTGCCTCCCCCACAGCCTGTCCACTCATGGGCTGAGGTTTTGCTTCCTTGTCGCTTGCTTCACCCTCGGCTCAGTAACTGCCCTGGACTCTGGGCATGACTGCTGCCCTCCAAGCCCAGACCCTGATCTCACCTGCCATTTTGACCTAGATGTGTACAAATCTCTCTGTCCCCTTCAGTCTGGTGAACGGGGTTGGAATGTTTTCAAAAGGAATTTTACCAGGAAGCTAACAGAAAAACAAAATCCAAAAATGGAAAAGCAAATAGAGAGGAACGGATGTGTGTCCAGAGTACCAAGTCTTCCGGGATCTCAAAAATCCAGCCCAGGCTGGCCTGACTAATGTAGCTCAGGAAGCCCCCAGATTCCCTGGCCTCGCCTCATTCAGCCTCTGAACTCCGGGTGACTCCAGGTAGAGTCTGGGTTTGGGGGATTAGCACCCCCTTTCAGGGTTTGCATTCAGATCAGCTCTCCCTAAAAGTGTCTTCCTGTGACCCTGGTCAAACTCTGTAACACCTCTGTCCTCCAGCTTGTCCCTGATTTTTCCTGCCAAGGGAATAAGACACAGGCCCTGAAGTCCTGCACTCAGGAACATCTCTCCCGTCTGTTGGGATTTTTTTTTCTTTTGAAGGGTGTTTACTAGCCTACCATAACAGGTGTTCTACCTTTTGTGAAATGTAGCTACTTTGTCTATTTTAAGAAACCATCTGGGACTGCTGAAAGCAGAAGTTGTAGTCTCGGGATAAGTGCAACCACAAGGTTAATTTGATCAGGCCTGCCAACTGCTTGATTTCTGGTATTAATATTTTGTTCTTGCCTTTTCCATGAAGCTGAAGGTCTTGGCTGCTAAAGTTCTGGCTGCTGAAAGCTGAAACTTAACCCTCATTGTCTACTTTATAGGGAATATTCATACATCACCAGGGTAATTGTCACTGCAGTTATTTTTCAGGAACCTGAGTCAGCTCTTACACAGTTCAAATTGGTTGAGACCCCCAACCCTTCAACTGGGCCCACACAAGTCCCCAAGTGGTGACCTTTTGAAGTTGGAGGACCAAAAACTTCATCCTCAGATCACACTAATGCTGCCATTTTCTGTACATATATACTATGAAATGCCATGAACCCTGGCTACACTTGCACAGAATGAACCTGTATTTAATTTTTCCTCCACTGCCAATCACCTTTCCCTACATCTTAGACCACCCCACTTTCCTAACCCATAAATATTCCTAAGCCTTACCTTTGGAGAGGAAGATTGGAGACCTGTTCTCCCACCTCCTTACTGGGCAGTATTTCTTTTTTGCAAGATGCTTGTCACAGTGAATGACAGAACGTGAGCAGAACAGACCTGGACCTAGCTGATAACACAAGTTGCAAGGACCAGCAGACCCTGAAACTCCCCCACCCCTCCCTTTCCTAGATTCTGCTTAAAATCTGGGGGATGAACATCATTTTTCCATCAACTGCAGAACAGAAATGAGTGAAACTCCCTGAGCATCAATGAATGTTTGGTCCCTTCCTAGCTCAGGTAACCCTTGCCATCTCTCCAGGTGCTCTCCCCAAAATGGTGCCCCAAGGAATGATCTTTCAGGATTCAAGTCTTAACAGTTTTATGGTATCAAATTTCTTAAGCTCGAAGTGACAGTAGTATGAGGAGGGTGCTTTTGTCCTGCATTCTCACACCTCCCTTCTTTAGTTTTCTCCCTAGACCCCGCCTTGAACCCTTTGTCTTCTTGGCATGAAGTGGGGCCTCACTGTCTCAGTGAGAGTTTATTTACTTTATATGGTGTGGTTGGGGTGAGAGTTGAACTTTTCTCTAGAGAAATGACCAAGGTAGGGCTGAGAGGAGGCTCCAAGAATCTTCCTCCAAAGTCCTGTCCCACCAGTTGCTATCGTCTTTCACAAAGACACCCCAGGCTCCCCCACTTCTCATAATCCAAGTGGGTAGGGGGGGCAGGAGACAATGCTGCTCCTTAGGCCAAAATTATTTGGTTGTAGGAGTGGGTAGAACAGACGTGAAAGCAATGCTGGGTAGAGATGACGTTCTCCCCGCTGAGGGCTCCAAGTCTTCTTGGCTCTTATCTTGTTTTGTTTTCACAATCCTGGAGGGAGAATTCTCCTAAAAGTTCGGGAAGTTGTATTTCAACTGCAAAGAAACATAGGCCAAGACCCACAAGCCACAGCCCAGTCCTTGTGGTCAGACAGGAGAGGTGGTTCTGATTCTCTTCTTGGCAGTCTCAGGGACATAATTCAGGAGGAATCTACAGGAGGAGCTGAAGGAGAATAGAGTTATCTTCCTGCTCTTTATCTCTCCTGCTAGACTCTAGGCTTCCTCTTGCCTTCTCCCCAGAACCCCTCTGGTCAAGATGTCCCATTATTTAGGCAGACAGACACTCACCACCAGCCTTGGGCACAGGACAGCTGAGCTGACTTCTCTGGGAAGAGATCCGAGAATCAGGGGACCAGGGAGGCAGCCCCCTTCTCAGTCGCTGAGTGTGGTTAATCTCCACATCTTCCAACCAATCTGGCCTCCACTCCCACATGGGCAGGGAGAGGGTGGGGGTCAGAAAGAGGTCATCCCGTGGGGAGGGTGGTGATGAGGCATCTGTCAGGGAGGAGAGTAGAGGTATCCGTGGGTGGTTGACTTTCAGTCCCTAGGGACTAGTTTAGGGCAGAAAGCGTAGGATCATCTCAGGGCATTCACCCAGCCCTAAACATAATTTAACCCCATCAATCCAGCAGCCACATCCTCAGGGGCCTGATCCATCAGTTTCTTTAGAGAGGAAGCTGAACTGTTTCCTCCCAGCCAGGTTCTGGCCTTCTATTCATACTCTCATTCACTCTCCCATTCCTTGGACATCCATCTTCTCCCTCCATTATGGTCACATCTGTCCTGGATAATCCTCGCCCTCCCATGTACTCTAAGGGTAGAGTTAGGATTAGTAAAATAGGTATGGGGGATGTGATAGAGTATGTGGGGAAGGGAACACCAAAGGAGCCAAGGAGCCTTGAACTACCTTCTGCAGACATGGAGATAATGATCCCACTCTGCAAGCCATGATAGAGAAGGTCCCATTTGTGAGCCAGTGGCTTCTCAGCCCTTGCCATGGACAGAACAAGAGGAAGGGTTTGGAAGAGGCTGGAGCAACCTTTCCTGGAAACCCACATCTAGGTAAGAGGAGAATCCTGGAGGCAGGGGAATAGATCTACAACTGGATGCTTTGAGTCTTTAGAATTGGACAATTTATCCTGATTCTGTGGGTGACTTTGGGCAAGGAAATAAACCTATCTGACTTATAGTTTCCTCATTTGGAGAAGACGAGTAAATAATATTCCTCATAGAGCTGTTAATATTAAATTCTATGAAATACTTATGGGACCTGGAATATAGTAATCATTCTATACAAACTCGTTTTACCAAAAATGACACGATAATGATTATGAAGCCTTGCCATTAGTTGGGAAAAAGAGGGGTCTTACAGGGGTTGTATCCACTCTAAGGAGGTAGGGGTGAGGAGTAAGATGGAGTGATCTCACATACCTGTGAAGACGCAGTCTGACTCCCTGGGCTCCAGACCAAAACCAAAGCTATCCACAGCCACTGCCAGGGCTCGGGCGAAGTGGGCATCAGCAAGAAAGGAGCCATCAGAAGAGCTGACAAGGCTGGCTCTGGCACTGGGGCCATTGTCCTCAGAGGCTGAGCCCCAACCATTGGCCAGGGAGCCCTCACTGGGGGTGGGGGTGAGGCAGGGTCGAGGTGGGCACAACAAGCTACACCCCTCGGGCCCCACCCCTCCTCCAGTCCTGCCCATGTCTGCTAGCTCTGAGGCTGTTGGGACGCCGATGTACCCATAGGTGGCAGGGGGTGAAGGAGCCCTTGGCATAGGAGAGACACTGTTCCTAGGAAGAGGCAAAATGGGAGACAGCAGTGGTTAGGGTGGAGTGGTATAGTAGCAGAAACATCTCAATTTAGGCAGGGTGAAATGGGGGTGGAGATAAGTATACTCCTGCCATGCTTATCTGTAGCTCTCTGGTTATCTCTCAGGCTACTTACCTGGGTGTCTCCTCACCCTCACTAAGTTCCAGGCACAAGGCCACCTCCTCGGGGGTCAGCACACTGTCCTGATCCTCCTCCAGGGACGACAGTGAAGAGCTGGACAGGCGACTGGAAGCTGGGCTGGGGCCGGAGAGGGAAGAGGCCTGGGGGCTGGGGGAACTGCAGCGGCTAAGGATGGGGATGGAGGTTTCTGGCAGTGAGACAGAGGAGGAAACTTGGGGCGCCACCAGGTGCCTGATTGGGGTCAGAGAGTGATAGCAGGATGGTTAGTGCAATTCTTCAAGTCCTGGTCCACCCCTCCCCACTCCTGTCCAATCCCAGCACACACTTCCCACAATCCCAATCTCCTAGCCATAATCCCAGACCCTGTGCCCTCTTACTGGGTCTGTTGACTCTGAGTGGGAGTTCCATGAGGAAAGATGGGTGCTGGAGGGAGAGGGCGAGTCATCCTCTCATTTGAGGAGCTGAGGAGCTGTGGTCCCAGGGCCCGCCAGGCAACCAGAGCCTGGGGCACAGCTCCTGGGGAACAGCAGCCTGGGAGTAAGAATAGCAGAATCCCCATCAGCTCCGGAGTCCAACCTGCACACCCAGCCTCCTCAGCTTCCTATTCCCTCACCCCACCTATCCAGCCTCCTCAGGGACAAAGGGAGAAGCCAGCTGGAGGAGCCTGGCTAATGGGCCCCTATACCCTGTCTTACCCCTTGCTTCTTTCTCAGGGACCCCCTCTCACCTGGGCTTTGGGAAAGGTTCTTGGAACCTCTATTTCCCAATTCCCGGGCCTGGAGCTCTATGGGGTGGCTGGCCCGGAACAGTGGGGAGCTGTTGGCATGCTGCAGCTCTGCAAAGAAAAGAGTCAGTGGTTGGGAAACAAGTCAGGATGAGCCTTTCAGACCCTAACCTCGGGCTCTATCGCAAGCCTTGTTATTCAACTCAGTCTGTAGGACCTAGAACCCAGATAAAAGAGGAAGAAACCTCCCTCTATTCCCTCCACGCTGCCATCTACATCCAGTCAGCTCTGATAGGGTTAGAAGAAGCATTGAGCTTTGAGTCAAAAGATCTGCCCTCATAGCCTGACTCAGCAGTGAACCTCAGAGAAGTCCATTAACCTTTCTGAGCCTCAGTTTTGTTTATATGTAACCATTTCAAATGATGGTTTTGATGATCAAATAAAAACAGATTGCAAAAGTTTCAGGCACCTGAGAGATACTTTAAAAAACAACTTTCTTTTCCCTGACTGTAAACATTCTTATCTTTCTGATCTCTATACCCTCACATTGCTACTCTCCTCATGAATTTTGACTCTGCAAAGATAAACGTTCCTTCTTTTCATGAGAGAATCTATTAATTTCCATTTCTCGTACTGCAAATATTTAATGTGGTTCTGGATAGCCCTGCCCCGGAAAACCTGATTGTCTGTTACTTGGGAGATGGACTGGATTGTCAAGTAGAATTGAGTGGGTAAGACAAATACAGGGGGTCCCTCAAAATGCTGATTGTGACAAGAGACAGTCAGCAGGAAGGAAAAGGAACTTCAGAAAAGAAAAATATATTGGTCTCACCGAGGGAAGCAATGCCCTACCCATAGATATTCAGTAATATTTGTTGAATGAATGAGTTTATGCATGGATGACATCAGAGATGTGGATGTAAATACATGGTGAGGAGAATCATATACAAGATGGCAGCTATCATCTGACCCATAAGAGCAGTGAAGAGACAGGACTCTAAATGAACTTTGACAACAGAGAAGCTGAAGAAAATGAAAGGACAGTCCCATCTGTGTGTGAAGACCTGTGAACATGCTTCTTGGCCAGGCCAGAACCCAAAAGGATCTAAGTTTTTTTTTCTTTTTTGAGTAGGGATCTCACTCTGTCACCCAGGCTGGAGTGCATTGGCACGTTCATAGCTGCCGCAGCCTCTACCTGCTGGGCTTGAGTGATCCCTCTGCTTCAGCCTTCCAAGTAGCCAGAACTACAGACATGTGCTATCATGCCTGGTTGATTTTTTGGTTTATTGTAGAGACGAGGTCTCACCAAATTGCCCAGGCTGTTCATGAACCTCTGAGCTCAGGCAATCCTCCCTCCCAAAGTGCTGGGATTTCAGGCATGAGCCACCGCGCCCAGCCAGGATCTAAGTTTAAACCAGAGATGAACAGGATAATAGGGGGAAGAAATTCTCCCAGGACTAGGAACCAGGAGAACACCAAGCAAAGGAGAAAAGAAACAGCTTTAAGATTAGTGTCATGTGATCAGAAACCCAGGTAGGAAAATGTTTCCCTTGTTGGTGGACCACTGACAAGGCAGTACACTCAGGGGAGAGCTACCGAGTCAGTCGGATTTCAAAAATCTGGGACTACCAGGGACAGCTTCAGAGCAGGGAAGAGACAAGGCTTTGACATTGACCAAGACCCTAGCAGGGCCCTGGGAATCTATGTCCCACTTCTGATACACTGGGGTGAAAATCCACACAATGTCTAGACTTCCTGTACCGAAGTCTCCATTTGTACTTTGGCTTGTTTGGTTTTTGTTCACTTCCCTTAGCTTTCATATGACTTAGGGCGTCCTAAAAGCCAACTTCAGGGTCAGTGCTCCAACTTTGCTTTCACCAGCTTTGTCTTATCTAGTGCCTGGCTTCTTAACCAAGTTCAGAAACGTTAGCAAATGTTGGTTGGTGGGTTTGAATAGAAAAAGAAGGAGAATATCCAGACCTGGAAAAGGCCATGTTTATCTCAGCCCATTTCATTTCCTCTAAGGAACCCTGGTAACAAAAGTCCTCCTTCTACCTTGTTTGGAGTTACTTTTATTTTAGTTTAAATGCTATTTGAATAAACTAGACAATAAAAGTGTTTCAGGGTGAAAGGTCAAATTGTATTGGGCATACCCAAATTGCAATAAGTTTCTATTTGAATGAAATAATAAATGGATGAGAACCTACAGTGTGTGTGTGTGTATGTGGCAAAGTGAGCAGAACTGAACTAAGAACTCGATTAATGAAAGGCAGGACAGCAGTTGTGAGAGTATCTGTAGTGAAGAACAAACTCCAACTAAGGTCAAATAATAAGGAAAAGGAGCAAGCAGGTCAAGAGGAGTAGGCTGAACTGAGAGAACCTGCCAGTTTGGGAAGAGGAAGATACATCAGTCTTTTGGATCAAGTAATGGTAAAATCAATGCCATGGCTCTGGACAAGATCATAATGTATGATCTTACTGCTACTTGCTGCTCCTGGGAGCCAGAGGTGGAACATCAAATGTCCATCACCAAAGAGAGATGCTGCAGTTGATCCATCTTGGGGCAGCAGAGAGACGGGAGTAGAATGAGGAAAAACAGGGTGAAGTGTGGACCTAGACCGCAGCTTAGGGAGCCTCATCTCAGAACTGGAACTCTTTTTAAAAACAGTGATAGAATATTATCCAACCATAAAGAAGGACAAAATTATGACCTTCGCAGTAAATTGGATGGTCTTAGAATCTATAATACTGAGTGATTTATCACAGAAACAAATAACTGAGTACCACATGTTCTCACTCATAAGCAGACCCTGAACAAATATCATAATACTATAAGAAAGGGTTTGGCAGTAGTGGGAAACTGTCAGGGGAGGGAGTAGGGGGCACACCTTATCAATAAGGGTACCTGATCTCAAAACAGGTGAAATGGGGACCAAAGTGAGGCCCAGACTTTACCTACACAATGACCATTTGTATACCTAACCCTGAATTGTACCCCACAACTTAAAAAAAAAAAAACTGGCTGTAGAAAACCACTCTCTTTTATCCAGTAGTATTAATGTTCTAAGAGGGGATAAGAGGAGAAACACAGTAAAGTGAGAACCTAATTGGCCAAGACCTCTAGCTAAGAGTGCTGCAGAAGGGGTTGAAAAGTTGGTGGTTAGCCAGGCTCGGTGGCTCAGCCTGCAATCCCGTGCCTTTGGGAGGCTGAGGTGAGTGGATTGCCTGAGCCCGCAGGTTCGAGACCTGCCTGGGCAGCGAGACCTCATCTCTACAATAAATCAAAACATCAGCCGAGTGTGGTAGCGTGAGCCTGTAGTTCCAGCTACTTGGAAGGCTGAGGCGGAAGGATCGCCGGAGCCCAGCAGGTCGAGGCTGCGGTGGCCGGGAGCGGCCACTACACTCCAGTCTGGGCGACAGCCTGAGACTCCAACTCAAAAAAAAAAAAAAAAAAGAAAGAAAAGTTGGTGGTATTGGCTTTATCCTTATGACTTTTCAGCCCTGCACAACTCCATTAAAATAAGTGTAGTTCTCCATGGGAAAGCTGGTTTTTAAATGAAGTTTATTCAACTTCTTTTTAGCTGATGTTTCATTACCACTGAGGAGTCATAATGCAATAGCGCTGAGGCAAAGCTGGTAGGAATGCCAGCTCTGCTGATATTTGGAGTCATAAAATACTGGATTTTGAGCTCTTAATTACTCTTTATCCATCTTTATCTTAATAAAAGTTGGACTGTATCCACTTTTTAAAAAGAATTGGCTGTAGAACATTTGTTAGATCTTACTAATCAGTACAGAAGACTCAGGAAGACAGTAAGCAGAGTGCAGGCCAATGTTCTGCAGGCAAGAAACAGGAGAAAATAGTCAGCTACAAAATAGGATTTCCTGAAGGTGCTTCAGAGAGATTCAGAGCAACCTTCAGAGGCAGATCACGCTGACTTCAGATTTCAGCTCCAGCAGCTTATTTCTTGTGGAATTTGAGCAAGTCACCCATCATTCTGACCTCTCCCTATCTATAAAATTAGAGAAATAATACCTAGCTAATCCACTGTGAGGATTAAATGAAATAACAAATATAAGTAAAGCACCTAGCATATAGTAGTTGCTCAAGAAATGGAGAATATAATTATTTTTCTCTAGAAAATCAGAGAAGGCAGTTGGAAGTAAGGAGAGAAGTCTGTCATAGAGAAAACACCTATTCCTCTCTGAGAGGTGAGAGTCAGGAGTCAGTGACCAATCACACCTGCACATAGAGCACCGGGAGATGAGTTCATGGGAGCCTGGGTTTCATGCCAGAGTGGGTCACATTCTGCCAGGCTCTAGCATTACTTGTATGCTAGTCAGCACTTTTGCTAGACAGACCATGAGCCCTTAGAAGGTAAGGGCTATGTCTGGTATCTCATGTCTCCCATGTCTGGCATGCAGTAGTGCTTATTAAATGTTTGCTGAATTGAACTGACTGCAGAAACGGGGCTCACTGCAGGGTGGCCAAACCAAAACAAGAGCACAGTGCAAAGAGTCTATAATACTCAGTGATCTATCACAGCAACAAAGATCTGAGTACCACGTGTACTCACTGAAAAGCGGACCCTGAACATTTACCATAATACCTAAGAAAGGGATTGGCAGTAGGGGAACACTGCCAGGGGAGGGGGAGCACATAACATCAATAAGGATACTTGATCTCAAACCATGAGAAATGGGGACCAAAGGGAGACCCAAACTTGACCTGTACAATGACCACTTATATACCTAACCCTGAATCATACTCCACACCTTTAAAATAAAAACAAAATAAAGAAAAAGAAAAGAAAAGCTGAGATGAGCACTCTCCTAGCTGTGTGGTTATGTGATAGGGGAACGCGGACTTGTTTCTGCCCAAAGAGGAGAATAGAAGCTGTGGGGGGAGGCTCAGGTCAGCAGGCCTCATTCCCATACATTCCCACTCTAGAAACCTCTTTCCACCCGCTGAGGCTATGTCTATCCCCACCATCCTTACCCTGTTTCCTTTTGGCCTTCAAAGCCTCTGCGGGGGCTAGAGACAAGAGTGGAGAAGAGAGTCCCTTGCGACTGCAGAGGCTGTCTGAGCTAGGCCAGGGGCTGGAGAGCCGGGCCAGCTGGGGTGGGAGATGCCTGACAGCTGGGGCCTTAGGGCTTGGCCGGGCTGGGGGGCTGGTGGGCAGCTCAGCGATGAGGGAGCCATAAAAAGTGCTGGTGTCAGGAAGCAGGGGTACACCAGGGCTTCGGGGGTCCCAGGAGATCACTGTGATAAAAATGACAGAAAAAATTATTGTGAGTACATCCCACCTCCATCCCTGGAGTTCTGGCCCCCCAGCTTGGCCCTTGCCCTCACTGGGCATGCTCACAGGAGCGACGACAATCTCTTGGGTCTCGGGGGTCCACTCCTAGTCGACTGCTGAGGCTGCTGCTGCTGCTCAGGTCCCGAGAGCCAGAGGTAGAACGCCAAGTGTCTGCCAGCCAGGGGGAGTCACTGTGATCTGTCCTGGGGCAGTGAAGGTGGGGGTGAGGCAGGGGGAAACGGGGTGAAGTAAGAACCTAACTGACCGAGACCTCCAGCTCAGAGCGTAACAGAGGGGGTTGAAGAGATGGTGATATCTGCTTTATCCTTACTACTTTTCAGTCCTTCAAGACTCCTTAAGATCTCTGACTTGGCCACTGAGCCCCAAACTCAATGACCCTTTCTATCCTGAGATCAGGGGAAATCCAAGTTGCCTGAGGTTGGGAGGTATAAATGAGAGACAGCTATGTGTGCTGAGATGAAAAGAGCAGATCTGGTACCAGACAAACCTGGTTTGACAATCCCAATTTGCCACAGCTCACCTGTACAACCCTAGCTAAATACATCTATTAGCCTAAGTCCCAGTTTCCTTGTCTGAAGAATGGCAAAAAATAAGGCCTTCCACACTCAAGACTGATGCTCTGAGTTAAAATGAGGAAAGATGAGATTTCTTAGCTGGCAAAGCAAGAGCTAGCTACATGGATGTTGGCCTCTGGCTGTCTGAGTGGTCATTTAAGAACGGGAATCTGATCAAAACACTTCTCTGCCTAAAACCTTCAATGGCTCCCTATTTACCAAAATAGAGCCCAGGTACCCAGCATGGCTAAGAGAACCCTCCCTGGTCTAGTTTCCGGCTCCCTAACCTTATTCTTTGCTATGACCCATCTTATATTCTACACCCCAGCCAAACCAAATGGCTTGTCGTTCCCTATGGACATGGCAGGCTATGACCTGCTGTTTCACCTGCCCTTCCCCACCCCTCCTTCTTACTGTCAGGGTAAATGTGGAATCTTCTTTCTCCTCTTTCTCCACCCTGACCCCATCCATGTATCTTGCACTCATATGATCTCGTTCCTGTCTCTGCCTAGACTGAGAGTTCCTGGCATAGGGAGACTATTTCAGGGGAATGAATGGACCACAGTTCAAAATGGGATCTCCCTCAAGGACAAGAGAGAAGTTTCCAGGGAAGCCAGAGAAAGTTCAGGACAGAGCAGAAAAAGCCCAGGAAGTAGCCGGAAAAGAGAAGCAGGGAGCACAAAAAAACTCAGGAACACAATACCAGCCAGCTGAGAATCTGAAGCAAAGTGCCAGCTCTAGGCCTAGATGTGTCTGGCACATAGTAGGTAATCAATAACTTCTGCTGATAAATGCAGACATGGCGCATGGAGCCTCCCAGAAGGAATCTAACAAGATAAAGAGCCAAGAAGCCGGGCAGACAGATGAAGTGTAAAACTCAGCCAACAGGAGAAAAAAGGATGTGTTCTTTCTTAGTGTCTTGTCTCACAACCACAGACTTGCTCTGGCCAAATACACTTGGAGCAGAATTATCTACAGGCTGGCCATGTTTTTGAGAGCAAGTAGGAATCTATGACGTAGGGGCTGAACGCCCTCTGCTGGAGCTGGAGTGGATTGTGATGCAGAAATGATGGCTCAAGCAGGAGATTTATTGAATACATAGGTGCCATTTGGTAGACACAAGGTGTACAGAGAAAAGTAGACATTTGAGCTGGTTGTCTCAAGCTAGTTATTCCCCACCTACCAGAATGAGACAGCAGGAGAGTGTAGTGTGTGTTAGTGAAAGGTGGGCTACAAGAGCACTGGATTAGGGGTTCAGAAGGCCAGCTACCGGTTGTACAGCCTTAAGCAAAATTTCTTAAATGTGTGTGTCTCAGTTTACCTACCTGTCAGGTGGTGTGACAGAAATATTAATGAAAGAGAAATGAACTCTCCATTGGTGTTCAGGAGACATTCAGGTATTGGGGTCCTAAACTGTCTGGCAGGTAGACTAGTACTCCATCCAATTCTGTGTTCCAGCTCCATGGTCCCTTGACTCCCTACCCTTCCTCCACCTCAGGTCCCCTTTCTCACCTGTGTTTTAGGATGGCATCTTCACTGGTGTATCTGTACAGACCTAGGAGAAGGCAGAAGGAAGGCTAAATCCAGAGGCCCCATCGTCACTTAGCCAGAGATCTAAAGCCCCTGTGGCATTCTGGCTGGATTCAGAAGAAGCTTGACGACATGAGGGGGGTACCCACTCTTACCTGGGCCCAGGTGCACCCCAGCTTGACGCCGGCGGTGGATACACACAGCGGTGCCCAGCAGCAGCAGCCAGAGCATGACACCACTGCTGGCAATGACCTCTGGCCGCCTAAAGGTGGCCCTCAGCTGCTCTAGGGTCCAGGAACCAGGATCACTGGGTTCCCGGGCGGTGCGCTCCATGGTCTGCTCTGTTTGGGATGTGGAACTCAATGGAAGGGGCAGGTGAGCCAATGTGGGGTTCAGTTGACAAGGAGGAGGAGCTGGAAGTGTGAGGCAGGAGCAGGGAGAGGGAAATGGGGACTGGAGGGTATGGGTGGGGACAGTGGGCACTGCCCTCACCTAAAAGGAGGCAAACAGGGCTACTGGGTTCCCCAGCCCCAGCACCAGTGACTGCAGCCACTTGCACACAGTAGGACCCTGGCATTCGGGTGGCGATCTCCAGCTGGGTCTGCTCGCCCACTACAGTCCAGTTGGTTGGGGGCAGTGAGGTGTTGCCCAGGCTCCAGATCTGAGGCACAAGCAAAGGTAAGCAGCTGTCCCGGGCACCATCCCAGCAGATGATCCTTCACCTAGGGACACCCCCTTACCTCACCCCCTCAAGCATGCACCCACACTTCCTTTTCCCCTCTCTCTTACAAAGTGAGAGAGACTTCTCTCTAGACAGACAGAAGGAAGGCAAAAGGAATCTGCTAAAATGCGCCCAAGACCAGTGATTCTCAAACTTCTGTGTGCTTCTGAATCACCTGGAGGACCTGATAAAATATAGACTGCCAGGTCCATCCCTGAGTTTCTGATCCAATAGGCCAGATTTCTGTCAGGGGAAAGAACCTGAGGATTTGCCATCCTAACAAGTTCCCAGGTGAGGCTAATGTTGCTGATCCAGAAGCCACACTTTGAGCACCACTGCCTTGAACATTTAGAGTCAAGCCTGGCTTGATTCCTGTTGTCTTTTCTCACACCTGTGACCCTAGCCTTACTTTCTTTGACTGTAAATTGGGGGTTATACCCCAGGGTGGACTGTGAGGTGAAATGGGACTGTGGAGGAAAAGTACTTGGCAGGGTCTGGCAGATAGTTGGTCCTTGCTCAGAAAAAGTAAGTTTCTTTTGCTTTTCTGCACAGGTACTATTTCTCAGTGCCCAGAGCAATGGTATGCAGGACTCTAGGGAGTCCTGGTACCACTAGGAAGGACCATGTCCACTTGTGGGGAGTACCTGGTAGCCACGGATGATGCCATTATGGTTTTCAGCAGGTGGTGGGACCCAGCTCACAAGGACACTGCCATTGCCAGGTTTCAGGGTCACCTCCTGGGGTGGAGCACTGGGTACTGGAGGGGAGGAAGAGAGGCTGTAAGGAGTACTGAGGGACAGGAGTCTAGGGGAAAAAGCTGGAATGGGAGACATAGACTGAGGAGGATAGATGCTTCTAGTAACACTGCTTGCCTGACCAGGGCAGAAGGGAGTCTAGGAGTAGAACCCACCATCCCTCTAGACTGGAGTGAGATAGTCCAGAGGTCCCTAAGAAAGAAGGAGGCAGAGGGGATATTGTCGAGTTCTGGGGGAAGACCAATCACTGACCTTGTTCTGGCAGCCTCAGGAGCAGCACATTGCTGTCGGGGCCGCGAGCCCGGCCAGAGGATGGTCTCACTTTGAACTCATAGTCTTGGCCCCAGTGGAGGCCACCAAGCTCTGCACTCTGCCAGCCAACCAGCAGCTCCTCTGCCCATGGTGCTCCCTGGCCTCCTGAGGCAGTCTGGGTCCTAAACAGAGCTGTGTAGGCCTGAGCAGGGGCAGCAGGGCCACTCACCTGGGAAGGAGTTGGGAGGAAGGGCAAGGGGTCAGGAAGTTCATGACCAGCCCTTTCTTGAGCTTAGGACTGACTCCCACCCTTTGGACCTGGGCCTTACCTTCCAGCTGAGCCACACAGCAGGCCCAGGCTTGGGGCCCTTTGCAGGATCCGGGTTCAGCAGTGTCACGTTTTCCAGCTGGATGCGCACAGCCAGAAGCTCCAGAGGCTCTGTGTAGTCTTTAGGCTCTGTGGGGAGCACAGGACTGGGATGGGGCCTACAGGCCAGAGTGGAACCTTCTCCAGTTATGAAGAAACCCAAACTCCCAGAGTTCCTGGGTCTAGAGCACTCCTATTTCTACTCTGACATAGGGAAACCTCCCCCTACATGAGGCCCCCATCACTCTGACCCTTCTCCCAGGCTGAGCCCCACATAGACTAACCCCAGTGCCATCCAGAACACACCACCCCAGCTGGAGACCCTTAACTTGGCCCTGACTTTTGCTGACCACCCTCCTCCCCTCCCTCACCCTTACCCTGGACAGACACCCTGGCTGCTCGACTCTCCCGTTGTCCTGCATTGTTGGTGGCCACACACATATAGGTCCCTGCATCACTCTTCTCTGCTCTTGCCATCAGCAGTGACCCCCTGGACACCTGTCAGGGCCAAGAACACTATGAAGTGTTCTTCATAGTGTTCTATGTGGGGAGGGGCTGTGAAGCTGGAGGGGAGCTTAAGGTCTCAATGCCTGCCCTTCCTCAAGTTCTGCCAGGGAATGTGGAGCTGGAGAGCAGGTCAATGCCTCAGGGTATACCTAGTTATGCCCAAGACAGGATGAAGTATTGGGAAGGGAGCTACACTTACCATTTGCCGCCCTGGCTGGAGGGTCAGGGGTTTCCCATCTTTCCACCATGAGACTGTGGGCTCTGGGTGGCCCCAGGGCGGCCTACATTCCAGAATCACCTGCTCACCCACCACAGCCACTGTGTCCTGAGGCTGGATCTGGAAATCCTCCCGGAGAACTGTAGGGAGGATGGAGGGTTAGCAGGGAGCCAGGCCCAAGTCCCCCTTCCTTCCCTTACCATACTTGCCCCCATTTGTTTTGTCCACTTTCTAGGCCTTTCATCTGGGGCTAGACCCAACCCAGTTCTCTCTCTCAATTGTCACAACCCAGGCCTCTCCTCACAGATATACCCTTGAACTTCCTTCAAACCAGATGTCTCAGCCCAGGTTTGCCCCACCCTTAACTTCCTCTCCCAGGCCTCACCAGCCACAGACAGCCGAGCGCCACGGCTGACTGCTGTGCCCAGCTGGTTGCTGGCCTCACATGAGTAGACACCTAGGTCTGTGGATAGGACCTGGTCATCATGATCATGTCCCTGGGCAGGGGGCCGCAGCAGCAGGAGGGTTCCATCTGGTAAGAGGTGGTGTAGGTCTGGGGGCACCATGCTCAGAGGCTGTCCATTCAGCAGCCAGCGGATGGTGGGAGGCGGATGGCCTGAGGCTCGGCAGTTCATCCTGGCGGGGCCAGAGCCCTGGAGCAGCTGGTCCTGGGGATGGACTAGGATCTGAGGTGGGAAGTCCTGAGCCATGCCTCCTGGGAAGGAAAGGGAGCAGAGCCGGGTCTGACCACCAGCAGGACCACCAACAGGACCCCAAATCCCTACCCCACATCTCGGTTGTCTTCTCTTGTATTTGCTACTGAAGGCTGACTCCCAAATAACAAGTTAGCTGGGAAGGGAGAAAGTCAGCCAGCACAGCATCCGAGCCAGGACTTATATAGCATTCTCATTCTTAAATTCTCAATCTCTCTCTCTCTCTCCCACTCTTTCTCTCTCTCTCCTCTCCCCCCACACCTATACACACTCATTGTCACCACCATTGTCATGGGTACCTCACTGCAGAAGGGAAGCAAAGGAGCCAGCAAGCCTCCTCTGCCCTGACCAGGCCATGGATCAACACAGCATGTGCCAGGAGAGGGAGGGTGGTACTCACCCATGATGAGCAGGAGCAGGAAAGGCAGGGGCCACCCATCCCCTGGGAAGCTCACTCCTCCACAGTCCATGGCTGCTCCCAGGCCTCTGTCTGTGTCCCAAGTACTTTGTCCTGCTGCTCTGAGCTTACAGCAGAGAAGGAAGGAGGGGTGGGGTGATGTAGTGGTGGTTGTTTGTGACGGAGACTCTGCCCCAGGAGGGAAGCAGCTTTGAGGAAACCGATGCTTCCTGCCTGGCCCTCAGTGCCTTGGAGAACTGGGAGGAGACCAGAGGCAATAAACTCTCTGACCTTGACCCTTTAGCATAACCCCTGACCCTAATTTGAGCCCTATACTTTACCTCACAGTCTAGCCTGGGATTTGTTAAAGGGAATCCTTACACTAATCATAATTCCAACCAAAGTCTTAACCTTTAACCCTAAAACTCTGTTTAAATTTTATCCTTGAATCCTAATCCTTATCCCTTTGCTTCCAGGCTTCCAATCACCTGCTAGAGTGGATGGAATCCCAGGGTGGGGTCTTGGGCACAGCATGAAGAAGCTAAGTTCAGAGGGCAGTGGGGCTATGGGCTGGGGAAGCTGAGTGAAGGGGAGCAAGAGTGAATTGTCATCCTAGGGTCCATTTCCCCAGGGACAGATGGGACCTGGGGTGTGGTAGGGCAGAAGATAGGAAGGACTCAGAGATTCTAGGACAAGCCTAGAGAATCTCACAGAGTGTGCCCATATTCAGCTAAGAGATGAGTGAAATAAGCTTCTATGGAGAACTTGCATGGATTACTTAACACTGCGAGTCAGTTTCCTTATCTGTAAAATGGGAATTATAATAGTAATTACTACCACAAGGGCCAGAGTAATTATGAAACAAGATAAAGCATAAAACCACTTTGCACATAGAGTGCCTGGCACAGTACAAGCGATCAGTAAACTTAGTCGATATTATTTATTTAATTTTATGCACATCTCATCACTGAAACTATTGGAGCATCCTCGGCAGGTATATTTTTTCAGGCCCTGGAAAGATGGTTGGAGTAAATGACCTTTTAAGAGTCTTTCCAGTCCTGAAACTGTGTCTGTGTCTGTAATGTCAGCTCTCACCCACACCCCTCCCTCTCCCCACAGCTCAGAGAAAGGCGGCTCTCCCCTCTGAGAGCCCAGCTCCTGTTTACAGGTCTCTTCCTTCCAAATCTGGAATCTCAGCCATTTCCTGGAGCTGTTCCCGGAAGCCCAAGGCCAGGCTCTGGGGCTCAGCGGAAAAGTATCCAACCTTTGTTCCCAATTGTTCCTGGCCTGCTTCTCTGCAGGGCCCCTAACCCAGTTGACGCCCTCCCTTCCTCCCCCTTCCCAGGCTGGCTTCAGTGCCAGCCACAGCCCTAACAGCCTATCAGGTGAAGGGCCTTCTCCTTCTTCCCCTCAAACCCAGACCAAGACTGATTAAGACAGATTCAGAGCAAGAGATTACCACAGTCTCAACACACTGGAAAGTTCAAATAGACTGAGTGAAAGTAACAGAGTGACAGCTGGAAGGACAGGAAATGCGGTCAGAGAAGAGTTTGGGGTTTCAGAAGTGGAGGCACTGAGGGGGGTGACAATGTTCATGGCTTGACCATGGGTGTATGTGTGGCAGGCAGAGCAGAGTCAAATTATGGGGTTAGGAATGTGCGGGGCCAGAGTGATGAAGGGGGCACTCATATGGACACTGAAGTCAGCCGAGGATGACACAGGAAAGGAAATGGTGGGAGAGGTGATACTACTTATGGCCAACTTGGGATTTCCCAAGCACAGAGCCTCCAAGACTGCCCGACCTACCGACCCTAAAAATGTTGCTGTCAGCAGTTCTCCTTTGGTATACACTGGACTTGAGGAAACTAACCAAGTTCTCTGCTAATGTTTTTTTGTTTTTGTTTTTTTTTAAGTTTTTAGTTTATTAAACTGGTAGTGAAAAAATTCAAACAATGGCCACAGATATTGTCACTGCATCATCTTTCGTCCTTTACCTTCTTATCAGCACCAATATTGGCCTTTACAGTCCCCCTGACTTTCTTCATTCTGTTCTTATGTTCCTTTCGCTGCTTCCTTGAGGTCTTTTTCTTCTCATACAGGCCATGTCTTGCAAATCTTTGTCTGGGTTCATTTTTCTTTGCATAATCCAAGGAATTATAAATCACGCCAAAGTCTTACCACCACCAAAATGAGTTCTGAATCCAAATACAAAGATGACATCTGGTGTTGTCTTGTACATTTTGGCTAGTTTTTCCCGAATTTCTGTCTTAGGTACTGTTGCCTTCCTGGGGTGAAGGATATTGATGACCATTTGTTTCCGCTGAAGCCGACAGTTTGGTCATGAATTTCCTGGTCCAAATAGTTACTGTGTGTTCATGGCAGCTGCCGATCCTCAGGCAGTCAGGGAGGAAAAGATCTCTGTTAATGTTTTAATGCCAACTTGATTTTACTCAAGTCTCCACAATCCAGAAAATGGGTTTTCCCTCAGGGGAAAAGAAGACAAGTCTCAAAAAAATTCTGATCCATCACTAGTCCTGTCCTCAGCTGGGTGAGATAGGTGAGATGGTGAGGAAAGGTGCCAGTGCAGGGCCGAAACCCCAGAGGCTTTGGTAACCTGAGGAATGGCCCCTGACCTATAGTCTCATGCCCTGTGGTTGGAGATCACCTTCACACAGCCTCTCCTCACTCCCAAGCGCTAAGAACTGAAAGCAATTGAACGAGAGTGGAAATTACTCTGAGCTGTTCCTATGGGACATTAGGATTCCTTCCCCTCACTGAGTCCAAGCATCCAGGGCACTCAGGAATACATGGAGTGATGGACAAGGGGACTTCCCAACAGTGTGGCATGTCTGGATAGCTCCCAGAGACTGTAGTGCTCATTTCCAGTGACCTGGCCCATCAGTATCCTCATTGTATCATTTCCACAAATCAAGGAAGAGCCGAGTGCATGAGTCATGGGGATGATGTGACTTGAAGGGAGCCACTTCCTTTTGTTATTTCAGGGAAGCTGTGTTCTGGGGCTCTGGTAATGCGCAGTCCCAGTGATCAGTTTAAATAGTAACTTCCTTTACCCCTAGTTCTAGTGTTTTGTGTTTTCTAACTCCTCCTTTGTGTCTTGTAAGAGGAAAGAGAGAGGAGAAGGACCAAGTGCCCTCCTGAGCAACACTCCAGAGGAAATTTCTTTTCACCTCTGGCTCCTGGCTTCTCTGGCTTCCCATTCTATGTTCTCTGAAGATGCAGCCAGAGACTCCTGCTGGTGGAATCAGAGGGATGAACTCAGGTAGAATTTGAAGCCAGTTACACTTATTGAGATCCTGCTTCCACCTCTCATTGGCAGACACACCTTGCATAAATCACATAACCTTTCTGAGTCCCACTTTGCTTATCTATAAAATGTCTGCATGAGGTTTACAGACAGATATGAAAGTGCTGTAAAGACATTTGATATGTGTTAGTTGTCCTTGAGTCTACAGGGGACAGCAAGCCCCTCTCCCTGACCAGTACAGCCACAGCTCATCCCAGCCACCCCTTGAGATCTCATCCTTTTTGCCTTCTTGTTTATTTTTTTCCTTCGGTCTGCTCAGTCAAAATCCACAAATTATCATTTTGTTGACTCAAATTCTCTTAGCTGACTGGAAAAATTGCCCCGAGGCCATTTAATTGGCACAGCTTCTATTCCCTAATTCCTGTTCCTATCAACCCCATGGGTGATCTCAGCTCCCTGCGACCTAAAATCATACCTGATTCTCTCAACCCTAAATCTTCTCCACTTTTCCAACACCAGTGATGATGGGTCACACCTAAACCAAATATTGCCCAATTGGAAATTTCAATGCCCAAGAAGAAATGGAGATGTTATTGTTCTTTGTGTTCAGCCTGTCAGTGCCCTTCAAACAAAAACTACCAGGAACACACCTCTTGTTGAACAAGTTGAATTTATTACTCCTTGTAGCTATGGAGACTGCATGCCATGGGAAACCATGGAGTAAAAGGGCTCAGTAAAAGGGCTGTTAGAAAGAAACTATTATAGGATTTGGGCTTTGACCAGGGGATTCTGAGGACAGTCCAAGGAAGTGAGGATTTACTATAAGTTGGGCACTTTCAGGAAAAAAGGACATGCAAAGATTCTTTGCAGGAGAGTGAGTGTCTTTGATAATCTCCTTGCTATATAGTGTTCTTTTGTTCTTCTGTTCTAAATAGTGCTACTCTGAATCTTTATTGTATATAACTCCTAGTATAACTATAAATGTTTAAAAGTTACTCTGGGGAAATAAACTTAGAAGTAGAATTTCTGGGTCTTGAGGCATACAAATATTCAACTTTAGATGATATTGACAGAGTGTTTTCCAAGTAGTTGTACCATCCTTGAGTCACATTCTCAGAAAGCTTGGTGGACTTCTTAATTTTTGCAAATCCAGAACATGAAATAGTATTTTATACTGTCTTAATCTGCATTTGCCTGGTTAAGAAAAATAATTAAGTTGAGCATCTTTTCAAATGTTTAGTCACCATTTGTTTTTTCTCTTTTGGGAAGTATCTATTTTTACCTTTAGCCCATTTTTCTATTGCTTATTTATCTTTTCCTCAATCACTTTCAGGAATTTTTATATAGTCTGAATGATCATTTTCTGCACATTTGAGATGTTGCAAAAACAAATTTGATCTTATATTTTTTTCCTTTATAAAATGAGGTCTGACAATTAAGTTCGTAAACTCATCCTAGAAAAAGTGCTACATACCTCATTGCTGAACAGCACTATGGTCACCTTTGAAGTAGTTCTCTCGGGAAGCTATGCACCAATGCCAGCACCTAGTCCACACATCAAAGCAATTTTGGAACTCTTTTTCTGGAATGGTCATCAGAACTGTGGTCATATTACTCTTGATGTCTTGAATGTCATCAAAATATCTTCCTTTCAATATTTCCTGTTTCTTCAGGTAAAGAAAAAAGTTAGGTGAATAGGGAGGGTATTCCAATACAGTTATTTGTTTATTAGCTAAAAACTCCCTCACTGACAGTACTGTGTGAGTTGGTGAACTGTCATGATGCAAGAGATCCTTCAGGACAATTTTTGCACACACCTTTCTCATGCCAAGATTTTCAGTTAAGATTTTCCTGTTTCTCTATTGATGTATATTTGGTCTGTCATGATTCTCACAGTCAGTCAACAATTTTGATACACAATTTGACGATTTTTTTTACAATGTTTCTATCAGTTCTGCTCATTACTGGCCATCCTGACCTCTGTTCATCAGTGATGCTTTCTCTCACCTCAGAAAAATGTTTAATTCATTTGCACACTGCCATTTTCTTCATAGCATTATCCTCCTAAACTTGGACTAATATGTCCCTGACTTCACTCCCACTCTTACCAAGTTTAACAAGAAATTTAATGTTTGTTCATTGCTCTAATTCAAGCTCCAACATTCTTGTTATGGTACACAAAAGCATACAACAACAATAATGAACACTACTCAGCAAGACACCACCACATGTTGACATGAATACAACTGGGAGACACTGATATACCAAGGTTATGAAACCTTACCGAGTTGTTTGTTCAGTGCTGCCAATGCAGTGGGTTACCATAGTGTAGAGGTTATCACATTCACCTTACAGGTGCTGCCAACATAAATTCATAGTGGCAAGTACATTAACTTAATTGTCAGACCCCATATAACAGAAGCTGTTGATTTTACCATAGATAAGTTTATTAATATTTATTTTTATGTTTAGTGCATTCTTCCTACTTTTAAAAAATCTCCTCTACACTAAAGTAAAAAAATAGATTCCCCTATATTTCCTTCTAAAAGTTTAAAATGTTTGCATTAAATCATGAGATATCATGAATTGATTATTTTATATGACTTGAAGTAGGGATACACTTTTTAAAAAGATGATAGCCAACTTCAGCACTATTTATTGCTTAGTACTAATGATCTGCTATGATTCCTTTACACATAAAATATTCATGGATATGTAGCTTGCTTTATTAGACTGTCTATTCCAGCATGAACAACACACTTTCTGAACTATTAGAACTATATAATAAGTTTTGATATCTGATAAAGCGATTCTCTGCCCCCCTCTCTTTTTCAGGAGTATCTTGGGTCTTCTGCTTGTCAAGTTTCCTTGAAAATCTTATAAAATTTTTATTGGAACTGACCGAATATACAAGAAGAACTAACATTCTTATTCATGAACATGTATACCTTTTAAATTTAGGTCTTTTATAATGTGTTTCAATAAAGTTTTATAATTTGCTCTATATAGATCTTATACATATATTGTTAAACATTCTTAGCTAACTTGTTAAACCTTGTATTGTGGATTATTTGCAAAGATGGCTGCAATAATTCTATATGCCTTTCCTTTTACAATGCTTACTTCCCTTCTCATCAAGAAGAGAACTTATTTCTCAACTCCTTGAATCTGGGCTGCTCTTGGGAACTGCTTCAACTCAATAGAATACAGTAAAAGCAATATTGTGTAACTTCCAAGTCTAAACCTTAAGAGACCTTGCAGCTTCTGCTTTTGTCCTCTTGAAACACTGCTCTAAGACTTCCACGTGAAGAAGTTTGAGAGAGTCACATAGAGCAGTGATGAATTATTGTAGCCGAGAACTGCTAAATCTAACAGCCAACAGCCAGTATCAATCACCAGACATATGAGCAAGGCCATTTTAGGCATCCAGCTTCAGTTCAAGTCCCTGGACGATATTGTCACATAAGTCACCCCAGGCAGTACCAGCAAATGAATTGTCTACCTAATTGAGGCCCAGATTACTGGCACAAAGATTTACAAGTCAATGAAATGGCATTGTTTAAGTCATTCGGTATTGGGGTGGTTTGTTAGAGGCCAAGCCTGTAATCCTGCGCCTTTGGGAGGCTGAGGTGAGTGGATTGCCTGAGCCTGCGGGTTCGAGACCCGCCTGGGCAGCGAGACCTCATCTCTACAATAAATCAAAAAAATCAGCCGGGTGTGGTAGCGCGCGCCTGTAGTTCCAGCTACTCGGAAGGCTGAGGCAGAAGGATCGCCGGAGCCCAGCTGGTCGAGGCTGCGGTGGCCGGGAGCGGCCACTGTACTCCAGTCTGAGCGACAGAGTGAGACTCCAACTCAAAAAAACAAAAGACAAAAAAACCCAAGACATCCTAACATTTGTCTAATAGTTTGTAGATTATTTTGAAATTTTTAGGTAGAAAATCATTTAATCTAAATATATGGCGATTTTGGCTTTTTATTTACAACCTATTCTTTTTCTCACTTTACCAGTAAAATGTTGAATGGAATAATTATGGGTATCTTTATTTACTTCTTCATTTTAAAAGACATACTTCTAATGTTTCACTATTAAGAATGATGGGCTGAGTGCAGTGGGTCATGCCTGTAATCCCAGCTGTAGCTGAGGACTCCTAAACCTACAAGTCAACAGCCAGCATCAGTCACCAGACATATGAGCAAGGCCATCTTAGACATCCAACTTCAGTTCAAGTCCCTAGATGATATAGTCACATAAATCAACCCCTCAGTTTTGGGAGGTTGAGGTAGGAGGATTGCTGGAACCCAGCAGTTTGAGACCAGCCTGGGCAATATAGTGAAAACTCATCTCTACAAAAATCAAAAAATGGGCCAGGTGTGGTGTTGCACACCTGTGTGAGGTGGAAAGATCACCTGAATTTAGGAGATGAGGCTGTGGTGAGCCATGATTGTTCCACTGCACTCCACCCCGGGTGACAGAATGAAAGTCCAACTCACACACATACAAAAACAATGTTTGCTGTTGGTGTTTGTAGGTGCCATTTATCGGGCTTTAATAATTTCCTTTTATTTCTAGTTTGTTAAGAGCTTTTAATCATCATTAAGGATTAAGGTTTACAAATGCTTTTTTGGCATGTATTGAGATGGTTTGTCTCTTTTAATCTGTTAATGTGGCAAATAATATTTATGCATTTTTAATGTTAAATTTTTCTTGCATTCCTGGCATGAGTAGGGTTTGGTCATGACAGATAACTTTTCTACACATTCTTGGATTTATTTGCTTATATTTTGTTTAGAATAGTTTGCATCTGTAATTTTTTTCCTTGTACTTTCTTTACCTCATTTTGATATCATGGTTTTCACTGATTTCGTAGGATGAATTCAAAAGTATTCACTCTTTATGTATTTCCTGAGATAGTTTTACATGATAGAGGTTATGTGTTCCTTGCACGTTTGTTAGAAGATACCTAAAAAAACCATATACGCTGATTTTTTTTGTAGCAAAACTTTAATTTTTTTCTGATTCAATTTATTTAATGGTAAAAAGACTATTCAAGCCTTGTAATTATTTTTGAGTCTGTTTTTATAAGCTAAATTTTTATAGGCAATTTTCCATTTTGCCCAATTTTCCAAACTAATGTTGTTCATATTGTTCTCTTATTATCCTTCTCATTTACACTGGGGCAGTAGCTATTTTCTCCATTCACATTCATAATGTTATTTATATATGTCTTCTCCCTTTTTTCTTCATCAATTCCATCAATTAATCAATATCATCAATTATTTAAAGTTTTAAAATAAATATTTTCAGGTAAATATCTTTTTGTTCTTCTGTACTTTATATATTTTTTGCACTTCACTAATTTCTGCTGTTATTTCTTATACTCTACATTTTTTGACTTTGTTTGTTTGTTTAACATGTTAAGTTGCATGCTTCACTCTTTAATTTGTAATCTTTCTGCTTTTTAAATATGTGTTTAAGCCCATAAACTTTCCTTTTAGTACATTTCATTTTGCATCTTACAAATTTTGATACACAGTATATTTTGTTATGGTTAGATTTAAATTTTAAAACTTCTGTGATTTTTTCTTTGGCTCATTAATTATTAAGAAATGTGTTTTAAAATATTCAAATAAGCCCCTGATTTCTCCAGTCCTTAGAGCTCGCTGTCTGTCTGGCTCTTTTACTTTTTAACTTCCAGGACTCGAACTCACAGCCATGTCTTCTGAAGAAGGAAAGCACTTTGTGGGAGGGCTCAACTTTAACACCGATGAGCAGGCACTGGAAGACCACTTCAGCAGCTTTGGCCCTATTTCTGAGGTGGTTGTTGTCAAGGACTGGGAGACTCAGTGATCCTGGGGTTTTGGCTTCATCACCTTCACCAACCCAGAGCATGCCTCAGATGCCATGAGAGCCATGAATGGAGAGTCCCTGGACGGTCGCCAGATCCGTGTTGACCATGCAGGCAAGTCTGCCCGGGGAACCAGAGGGGGTACTTTTGGGGCCCGTGGTCGTGGCTACTCTAGAGGTGGTGGGGACCAAGGCTATGGGAGTGGCAGATATGACAGCCGACCTGGAGGATATGGATATGGATATGGACGGTCCAGAGACTATGGTGGCAGAAACCAGGGTGGTTATGACCGCTACTCAGGAGGAAATTACAGAGACAATTATGACAACTGAGATGAGACATGCACACATAATGTAGATACACAAGGAATAACACTTCTGATCCAGGATCGTCCTTCCAAAATGGCTGTATTTATAAAAGATTTTTGGAGCTGCACTGAAACATCTGTTTTTATTACACCAACTTCTATTTTTCAATTGCGCTCCCAAGGTAGCTTATTAAAGACCTTTTAGAAAGCTCCATGTGTTTTTAAAATTTTTCTCTCCCATTTAAAGACAAATTCTAGGACATTTGTAGAGTCTGGGTATTTTTTCTTTGATGAGTTTTTTAGTTTAGGATCTCAGGATTATTGGTTCTAGCAATAATGGGTTCTGGCAAGTTTGGCCAGACTGATAAAAATTAATGTGTATCAAGGGACATTTAAGAAAATTCTGTATACAATGTTTATTATGGTTATGAAGCAATTTCAAAATGTACCTATACAAAATCTGCATCAAGAACATGATTACCTAGGGGCATTTTTTTACTCAAGATCACCATCCTGGTTATATAGAAGAGCTTCTTAAAAATGTATGTGAATGTCATTTTTTTAAAATACTGGAAAAAAATATTCTGTTGTGTCTCATATAGTGTTTAGGATGTCCTTCACGGAGCTGATTAAAAAGTTGAAACCTGAAAAAAAAATTCAAATAAAAAGAATTTTATATAAATTGTTAGTTATTGACTTTTTTTGAGACAGGGTCTCACTCTGTTGCCCTGTCTGGAGGGCAGTGGCATGATCATAGATCAGTGCAGCCTTAGTCTCCTGGGAATCAAGTGATTCTTCCACCTCAGCCTCCCGAGTAGCTAGGACTACAGGCGCACTCCATATGCCCAGATTTTATTTATTTATTTATTTAGAGATGAAAGTCTCTCTGTGTTGCCTAGTTTGGTCTCAAACTCTTGGCCTCAAGTGATCATCCTGCTTCGGCCCGCCAAAGTGCAACCACAGGTGTGCATCACCACACTCAGATATTTTTTTTTTTGGTAGACATGGAGTCTCACTATGTTGCTCAGGCTGGTCTCAAACTCCTGGCTTCAAGCAATCCTCCTACCTAAGCATCCCAAAGTTCTGGGATTACAGCATGAGCCACTGTGCCCAACCTAGTTATTGACTTCTAATTTAATTTGTGGTCAGAGGAGGTAGTCTGAATAAAAACAACTCTTCAAAATGTATTAAGTCTTACTTTATATTCTAGCATACGGTCAATTTTTGGAAAATGTTTTAAGTATTTGTTAGAAGAATATGTATTTTTAAAACTGGAGTAGTTTAATGTGTTTTTTTAAAAACCAAGTTTGTATATTGCACTATTATAAAATTTTATCTTAGTCTTTTAAAGTAATCAAAATAGGGATATTGAAACCTTCCGCTGCAAAAGTAGACTTGCAAATTTCTTCCTGTAATACTATATATTTCTGGAGAGAGAACTATTTTAATGTTATGTAGTTATCCTCTGTAGCAGACACCATTAAGGCTCCACTTATAACTTCTCATAATTTATCTCTATACTGAAGACTGCTTTCTGTGAATAACTGCAACTCTGTTTGGAGAACATATTTGACCCTTACACAGGGCAAGCTAAAAGTGCTGCTAAGCTTTTTCAAGGCTCCAGAAGAATCTCTAAGCTAATGATGAACGGAGAGTTGGTAGAGCAATACCCCATCTCCCTTGCCTTTAAGTCTAGATTATTCTAAAGTCTGTATAACGCTGTCTTCCAGGGTTCACCATAGGATTTGAGCTCCAGTTTCTTTAGTATTAGCTTGTTTGATAACATATCCTATGTAGGCTTTGATCTCATTCCCATTCTACTTCCCTACTATCATGCTGGTGTTTCTTGAAATAAATTATTTGCACTCAAATTCAAGGCACCCTATTTATAATCCTAATATTAAGGGTGGCCATATGATTGATTGGGACAGTTTTTTGGAGTTAAAAGGCATGTTAATAATAATAATGCTAGGATAACAGGAGTAAGCCAGGACCATCTCAGGCAAACAATAACAAAAAATCACTCTACTAATTAAGCTTTTTGTTATGAAGTCCATTGGTTATGTGTTAAAAGTTACCCCAACTTCCTTTTACTTAGTATTTTCTAGTATATCTTTTCCATTATTTTTAACTTTTCCAAATAGTTGTTTTGAGTGTATTTCATTTAAATATCATATGACTGGATTTTTTTAAAAAATGAATTCTGACAGATCTTTGTATTTTAACTGGCAAATTTAGGTAATTTATAATTCAGCCTTGCTTCTACGATTTATTTTTTGACTATTGTCCCACTTTTTCTATGTTTATTTTCTCTAGTTTTGTGGCTTTAAAAAAATTAAGTTTGTGTTTGCTTATTTCCTTATTCTATTTCTCCCTTTGTTGGTTTGGAACCTATACGTTCTCATTCTATTCTTTTAGTGGTTACTCTAATAACTTCCCTCTGAATAGTTAATACAATCTGAAGTTAATATCTTTTTTTTTTTAGTTGGAGTCTCACTCTGTCACCCAGACTGGAGTGCAGTGACTGCTCCCAGCCACCGCAGCCTCAACCTGCTGGGCTCTGGAGATCCTTCTGCCTCAGCCTTCCAAGTTGCTGGAACAACAGGTGCGTGCTACCACGCCCAGATAATTTTTGATTTGTTGTAGAGATGAGGTCTCACCAAGTTGCCCAGGCAGGTCTCGAGCCCGTGGGATCAGGCAATCCACTCACCTCGGCCTCCCAAAGTGCTGGGATTACAGGCTGAGCCACCGAGCCCAGCCTGAAGTTAATATCTTAACCACTTCACTCTTTCCAACAAATTCAAGGACTTTGAAATAGCTTAATTTTGTTAATGCCCCTTCCAACTTACATCCTATTTTCTGTAACTTTTCAAGTTTTGAAAGCCAAAAATTAGATATTATTATTATTACCATTTTATATGGCATTATTTAGATTTGCCTATTAATTAATTAATTTGCTTACTATTCTTTCTTGCATCTCAAGTTTTTCTTTCAGAATAATTTTCCTACTTGCTATATCTTTTAGAAGTTCCTTTACTGCTGATGGTAAATTCCAAGTTTTTGTTTACCTGATAATAACTTTATTTTAACCTCCTATTTGAAAACTTTCTTTGCTAGATACAATACTCTGAGTTATCAGTTATCTTTGTTCATGACTTGTAGGTAAAAATCTAATGATTTCTACTATTACTGTGGCTTCCCCCCATCTTTTTCACTCTGCTTTTAAGATTTTTGCTTTGTCTTTGGTTTGCTCTAGTTTTACTACATTTTATGAGGCATGAGAATCTTTTTATATATCTTACTTGTTAACCTACTTATATGTGTATGTCTGTCATGAGTTCTAGAAAATTTTTAATCATTAGCTTTTAAAATATGGTCTTTCCTCTGTTATCTCTATTCTCTCCTTTGAGCTCTTGATTAAATGTTACACCTTTTCATTCTACCTGCCGTATCTCTTAATCTCTCCTTTTCATATTTTTCATCTCCTTGTTTCTATGTTCCTCGTTCTGAATAATTTCTTCAGACTCATCTTTAAATTGACCCTTGTCTTCAGTATTAAATGTGCTATCTAGGTCTTTCATTTACATTTTTATTTCACTATATTTTATTCATAAAAGTTCTAATTTATTTATTTTCAAATCTGGTCACTTTTGATAGTTTCTTGCCGCTCATTAATTTTTGTAATATGTCTTTTATTTTTTAAGTTTTTAAAAATATTCAATAAATTATAGCTGGTAATTTCAGTATCTCAAGGTTTTGGGGTTTTAAATCTATTGCTTCTTAATATCTGCTAACTCTTATTCATGGCGACATATTTCCTTGTGTGTTTAATAATCTTTTATTGTTAACTCATCTTATCTCTGCAAATTTTAGATGCTTTTTTTTCAGAAACAGTTTGCATTTTCATTTGTTAGGCATATGGGATGCTACTAATTGGGGACCCTTTTCAGGGTACAGGAGTTTCAGGTTCAGTTCTCGCCACCTTGCTGTTGACACTAGTCTTCCATTACAACACTAATATAAATATTTGCCCCTGAGTAATATCACATTTTATAGGTGCTAAGTACTTTTAAATTTTGTTTTGTTTCTGACCCCTTAAAAATTCCCCCATCTCTCCATGTCAACAATGAAAGTTAAATATAGTTTAAGCAGGACCTTGTTGTTTTGAAACAGGAGGACCTCTCAAGTATCTAGTCTCAAGTATCCAGCAGAATTTCCACATATTAATTTTCACCTATTGTAATCTAGCTTTAACCTCCACTACACATCTGAAACTATTTATGCCAAGTTGATCAATGATCCCTTTGATGCCAAATTTAACGTGTACTTTTAGCTTCTTTTCATTGATGACCTCCCCTCCACAGTCCTAGGTATTCCCTTTCTTGAAACCCTCTTCTTCTTTTGATTGGGTGATACTATTATCGCCTATATTTTCTCTTATCTCACGGGCTGGACATTTTTAGCCCTTCTTGGTGAGGTCATTTTAAGCTATACTGATTTCCTCAGAAATCTACCTGCAGTTCCCTCATCTTTTACTCTATCCACTTTCCCAAATTAATCTCATCCACTGCCATGGCTTAGTACCCTGGATTCCCCATTGTGTCTTGCACGTCCAAGCTTTGATACATGCTTCTCCTTCTGCTTGCAATGTGTCTTCTCATCCTTTTAAAAATTCGATTAACTAATCTTTCTAAGACTACACTCAGGCCTGTTCTTCTCCAAGATATCTTTGCTAATAACCCCCAATTTAGGCTATATGACTCTCCTACACGCTCACATAGCAACCAGTATCTACCTCCATCATTGCATTTTACATACTTCATTATAATAATCTATGTCTTACTAACATACTTATGCTGCTTCCTCAGTGTCTAGCACAGGACCTGGTCCATGGTAGATAAACATATGTTTATTGAATAAGTGAAAAAGCAACTAATTGAATCAATGAATGAATGGATGAGTGAGTGATGATTTTGGAGTGAACAATTTGGGGTTTGGAAAGAAGATGAAGGATGGTGAAAGAAGATGAAAAGAAAAAGACAAAGACTGATATGTTTAGGCTGTTTGTTTTGTTCTCCCAGTTTAAGTGGAATGAAGTTACCATTTCATTTCATCAAAAGTTTATTGAGCATCCAGTGTGTGCTAGGCACTCTCCTAGATGCCAGTAATACAAAGATGAAGATCAAAACAAAACAAAGTAAAAACAAAAAAACACTTCCTTCCTTAACCCCCCAATTTAAGGCAGATTTGGCTTGAGCCTGGGAAGCTGGCCCCTCAGGGATTCAGCACCAGGGTATGGCATGCTCTCATCTCACTCTATCCTTCACCTATGCATCTCAAGGCTGACCAGCAGGTATTCCTTCTCCAAATCATTCATCTTCCACTTTCCTGGGCAACTTTCCTCTACATGCATTTTCTCATTATGAATGAGGCATCTGGGAAGATTAGATGAGCTACAAAGGTACATCTGCTCAAATGAGCCTGGAGAGGTGCATAGGAACAGAGAACTAAGAGGACAAGCTGTGGGTGAAGGCAGAGGGGGCAAACTAGAAATGTTGGTGTCCTTGGGGCTGGGACAGAACGTGCCCTGGTGTGGAGGTGATAGGTAACAGGGGCCTTGGGAGTTGGTCCATGAGAGGGTGGTAAGTTAGAGCTAGAGTTTAGGAGGTTGGGGAGGGGCCAGAGGACTCTTGGAGGCATTAGAGAAGAGAGGAGGACAGAACACACAGAGGAGCTGCTTCTCTTTCTGCTTTTTAATTGGCCTCTCTCCTCTACTCACACAACAGACTATTGCTTCTCTTATGAACTGTTCAAGAAGTGGTGGCATGGGCACCGCCTGATTATACAGTGGCCCATCCCCTCCTTATTCTGGTGTTAGTGTGATTAGGGAGTCCTTCTCTGTCCTGTGCTCCAGGATCCCAGGGTCTGGGAGCAGGGTAAATGGGTGGCAGGAGGCCAAGGGTTGGATCATGTTCTCCTGAAATGCTGGGAAGCAGTTAGTCTTCTCCTCCTCCTACCATTTTTCTGGAGATTAGAACCATATTCTCTTACAGTTGTAGGAAGTTCAACAGCCTTCTCAAAAATAATGATTGTTTGAAAGTTTGTTTTTTAAGGAAGCCAGGGAGAAGGTATGAGTTTGAGGGGCTTAGAAACAGTTCCTCGTTTGATCTATCTTTCTGGGTCAGGGGAGTGAGTGGGAACCCACTTCTCCATAGGAATAAACCTATTCATCTCATTTGTTCAGCGACAGAGACACACAGAACGTTTGGCATGGCATGGCATGGCCACTGAGGGAGGCTTTGGGAGGAGGCTGAGCAGGTGGCCTTGAGTCATTTGCCTTGCTAGGGCCCAGGTCAGGGGGCAAAGAAATGTCCTTGAGCTCCTCCCTCACCGACCTGTAGATACCCAGGTACCAGGTGTCCACCCAAGGGGGCCTTCACAATGATTCCCCAGGTGTTCAGAACAGTCCTTGCACACCCAGTAACCAGCATCTGACTTAAATAAAGTTGTGCGTTTTGGGAAACAGACTTCTCTACTCTGAGCTTGCCAAAAAAGTGTCCCAGGGCTCAGGCATTTGTTCTGAGGGCAGGGCAGTGGGTGAGAAACAAGAGCTCCTTGAGAAGAGCACAGGATAGTCATGGGGATTAGGTTACTGATGTTAGTTTCCTTATAAACGTTTTGGGGATTGGGCCAGAAATTTAATAATCTACGTGGTCCTAACAAGGCACAACCCATACCCACTGAGAACACAGCCAGTAAACCAGGGGCAAACGCGACCCGGTTTAACCACCAGATCAACACTCCGCGGCCGCCCACTGCAACCCCTCCCATCTGCGCATGCTCACACACGTCCAGCCCCAACACACCAGCGGCCCCACCGGGACCTCTAGCACGCTGCGCCCCGGCTTCTCGGTCCTCCCCCGGGCCCGCAGGCCGCTGGCGCCTCGTGGGGGAGCCCCGAGGCTGCTCAGGCGCTGATCTCCACCGGACCAGCCTCGTCTTGCTCGCGGATTATGTGCACGCCCGCAGTCCGCAGTGTGCGCGAAGCGCTGCGCGAGCGGCCGGGCGAGCTCGGGGCCCGGGGCGGCGACGTGTGCGTCCGGCCGGTGGCGGGGGAGCGAGCCGGGGAGCGCGGGTAGCGGCGGGCGGAGCGGATGGGCAGCCCCGGCGAGCGGCCGGGCATAGCGGGCGACACGGAGTAGCCGGGCGGGCCGGGCTCGGTCGCGCTCCGAGGCTCCGGGGCGGGGCTGTCCTCGGGCTCCGGGGAGTCCTGCAAGGACACGCGTCGCAGGGGTCAGCGGATGGCCAGCCCAGTCTGGGAGGGCGCCTGGTATGAGAGGGCTCCAGAAATACCGAGATGAGGGCCTCACAGTTCTCTACGCTCCCACCTCCTGGAAGGCGGCAGACATAAGATTGGTTTTTCTTGCAATACACCACACTTAGCATGCGACCTGGCACATGGCAGGTGTTCGATATATGTTGCTATGCGTTAACTTGAGTGCTTTGTCCCTTTATTCTCCCCTTTCCACCTGTTTTGGACAGCCTGGGACAGTTAATTGTGAAATTGTGGGAAAATCACCAGAACTGCTATCCAAAGACCTAAGTTTGAAACTTGTTTAATCCTGGGCAAGTCATTTCATCTTCAGTCTTATTTTTCTAATTTCTAAAATGAGGGGGACACAAATATTTCATAGTTATTCTGAATACTACAAAGGGATAGCAATATGGCATGACTCCCTAGCACCAGACATGTGATGGGGTTTCACTGCATGCTTGTGGGGCACCCAGCCCAGGTCTGCTCACCTTGTCCTTCAGGATATAGAGTGCCATGGGGTTCTTCCGCTCCTGCTCTCCACTTCGTGGTAGCGTGTCTGCTGCACAGGAGAAAGAATGGGGTGGCTGGCCCAAGTACAGAATCTCTCTACCAGCCAGCACCTATGCTCTTTGCTCCCCAGCTGGCCCACCACAACCTCCACCAACATATCTGAATACCCGTGGTCCTACCTTGGTGGCACCTCTCCCTGCTCTGCAGTCTTCGTGCGGTTGGTGGAGGAAGGGGCCCTGCAGAGCTGGTTTCCTTGTTGCCCAGTTCTGCCTTTTCCCAGCAGCCCACTGATCTGAGTGACGATGGGATGGGTGAGTGGGTGGCTGGGAGCTCACCTTCTGCTTTCAGGCGGTCATCATTCTGATCCATGTATTCCAGGGAGCTTTGCTTCTCCAGCTTCCTCTGCTTCCTGTGAATCAATCCAATCCCCCTGGTGAGAAGAGCTGGGGGGATACAGGGAGGGATCTGATGGCCATAAGAGAGGCCTTGAGGCTGGGCACAGTGACTCAGGTCTGTAATCCTAGCACTTTGGGAGGCCGAAGTGAGAGGATTGCCTGAGCCCAAGGGTTCAAGAACAGCCTGGGCAGCTTGGTGAGACATCTCTACAATAAATCAAAAAAATTAACTGGGTATGGTAGTGCGAGCCTATAGTTCCAGCTGCTTGGAAGTCTGAGGCAGAAGGATCACCCGAGCCCAACAGGTCAATGCTGGGGTTACCGTTAGCATGCTACTGCACTCCAGCCTGGGCAGCAGAATGAGACTCCACCTCAAAAAAAAAAAAAGAGAGACCTTGTGACAGGAAGATGGGTTGGGTGCAGTGGGAGTGGGAGGGCGTCCATGAGCTTTGGAGTGAGTCACATCTAGATTTGCTCCCTGATACTGTCACTTGCATTGTGACTGTGGACAAGTCATTTATCCCATCTGATTTCAGTGTCATTATCAGAAAACTGCAGATAATCACACTTAAAAGGTAACATGCTAACCACATTCACAGTGCCTGGCCTCAAAAAGGTGTTCAGCAAGTGAAACCATTGTTAATATGCTATGTTGTGAACATAGCATGCTGTTCCACACACAATGGGAAAATGGGTTTCCTGAGAAGAAGGGCATGTTGTTAAAGGACTTAAGAAAAGACTAGAGCTTGGGGTTGGAATAGACTGAAGGATTAGGTTGCTTGAGGTGTGAAACATGGAGAATTACCCCGACTTTTTGGAGGGTTTCCAGCAGGCACAGACTGTCACCAAGGTCACAAGGAGGAAGATGCCTCCTGTAGACAAGATGATGTAAAGGGAGCTTCTTCCTAGGGAGAGAGAGAGAAGCAGAGAGGTGGGAGAGACTTCAAAAGTGTGGTGAGCAGAGCTTACCGCAGTGAAAAGAGGAGAAAAGGTGCCTCAGGCAGCAAGGCTGATTGATGGCAGAGCTGTTGCAGCCCTTCATGGATAGTTGCCCTTCTCTGCCCTGTTCCAGTGACATTCTCTCTGGCATGTCCTCAGTCCCTCATGGGCACCTGCCTCTCAGGGTTTTGGGTCCTAAAAGAGGGCAGACAGGGAGACTCACTGTACACGGTGATCTTGATGGGCAAGCTGCGGCCCTGGCTGATGGGGTTCTCCACCACACAGCTGTACAAGTCATCGTCCTCCATGAGCACACGGGTGATGGTGAGCACCTTTTGGTCAGGGGACAGGAGCATTCGCGAGTCATTGAGGAGGGGCTTGCCATCCTTTAGCCAGGTGTAGCTGGGCTTGGTGCCGTTCTCGTGTGAGCAGTTCAGGGTGAAGGCCTCGCTGAGCTCCAGCACAGTGGTCGAAGCTACTAACACCTGCGGCCTCGAAATGGGCACTGAGCCCCGGGGGTGGGGAGCCTGTGAGTCATCAGCTAAAAAGCTTCTTCCTTCCCTTTAACTCCCTACCTTCCCACATACCTTTAACACTACCTTCCAACTCACTCTTTGGGTTGAGAAGACCTTTCAGGGATCCTCAGTGCCACCCTTTCCCATCACTTACTTGCTCGCTCATTCATTCATTCATTCATTCATTCATTCACCAACTATTTATTAAATATCATCTAGGCACAGAGGGTACAATGCTGGATGAGCCAGACATAGTATCTGTCCTTATTTCATTCTTCCCAAATACCTTTCCAAGACCACTGGGCTTAAATGTCTTAAACTAGCCCAGTCTGAAAGATATTTTAGTCTGGGTTCACTTACTAGCTGTGTGATCTTGGGCAAGTTACTCAGTCCCTCTGTACCGCACTTCCCTCTTTGCAAAATAGGAATAATGATAGTGACTATTCTTAGATTATGGGCACTGAATGAGTCAACATACACAAAGCACTTAGAATAGTTTGGCCTGTGGTAAGCCCTCTATACATGTTAGCTGTGTCTATCTGCCAATTTCTAATTCTACTTGGTTCAGTTTCAAGTTCCAAGTGTCTTCTGCATTGGTTTTCCCTGGCTGTAGCTAGTGTGCGGGGCAGACCCCACCCCAGTCCCAGTTGCCAGTCCTGCCTCCTTCCCTGACAAAGTACTTTACCATCCACAGTGAGGTTGATGGTCTTCTCCCCAGTGAAGGTGTCATCAGTGATGGAGATTTCAACCTCATAGGTGCCCTCATCAGCCAGCTGCAGGTCGCTGAGAAGCAGGGAGCCATTTTCGAAGAGTCGGATACGGTCTCGATAGTCAGTCCTCAGGGTGCCGATGATCTCTGTGCCGATGGACTGCACCACAGTCACTGGCTTGTCACGCTTCAGCTGCCACTTCACTACAGGCTTGTCACTGCTGGTGCTGCTGTACTGCACAGAGAGCAGGGCCGACTTCCCCACAGTGCCATGGATCAGGCGTACTGGACTGGTGATGTTTACTCCCTCCAGGGGGTCTGTGAACAGAGGCCCATGGAGAAGAGAGGAGTGTCAGGCCCTGGGTTCCTTAGCCCATTTCCACCCTTAAGCCCTCTGATCCCCCAGTGCTTCGTCCCTCTGAACCCTTCACTCCTCTCCAATCCTTCCTTCTCACCCACTGGTGCCATCTCCTCTTCCTCAGCAGTTCTATGCCTCTCTGCCCCTTGCCCTCCCTCACAGCTTTCCTGTGGCCCACAGTTCTTCTTCCATCTGGCCTTCTGTCCCATTGCCTTCCTCTTGTGAAAGATTCTAGCTAATGCACACCCTATGTGCTCCATTCATGGAAATATTTATTGAGTACCTCCTATGTGCCAAGCCCTTTTCTATGTCCTTGGGCTACATCAATGAGCAAAGCAGACAAAAATTCTGCTCCCTGAGGTTTATGGGTCATTAGACCTCTGGGTTAATTTTTCAGATCTTCTTGATTGGGCATTAGGAGGGTAGGGAGATGGAGAAAGCATGGGAACATAGGTTCAAAAAGAAATGAGTGGGTCATAAAACTTGCCAGTAAAGGGGAAGCTTGGGAACTTGAAGACAACTTGACCACTTTCCAGTCATACTAAGAGCTTCTTCTATCTTTACTCCAGCTTCATGTAGCATCTCACTAGGTCTGCTCAGAGCAGAACTGCCCTACAATTGGGTAGGTGGTTTTGGGAATTCACCCACACTTCAGCCTAATCTGTATGCCCTCTAGAGGAGGGATTTGGAATGGGTAGAGCAAACGAGTTTGGAATTGGAAGGGCTTTCTTTGTAAGACTGGGCTCTGTGACTTACTGGATTTTGGTATGTAATTTTTTTCTAAATCTCATTCTTCTCATTTATAAAATAAGGATAATAATAGTAACTGCCTTAACAAGGTCACAGGATTATAAAGTACAGAATCCACTTCAGTTATTGTCATGTAGTAGAGAACACAAGATTGAACAGAGATTTGGGCCCTACTATCAGTGTATGGTCTAGGAGAGTCACTTACCTCTTGGAGCTCAAAGTCCCCATAGGTAAAATAAGCTCTAGGCTAGATGGTCTCATCAGTTTGTTCCAGCCTAGGAACAAACTCTAGGATTTTACCATCCTGTCCAATGGATGTCCTATCTAGAGACACATCTCACATATCAGAGACCTCTTAGGGGGCCTGAAAGATGCTGCTTATTGATGTCATCTGGCCTCGTACAACATTCCAGCCTCCTGAAGGAGGCTCTTCTGGAGAGGATGTCGGTTGGGAACAGGGCTGAGTTTAGCTGAATAGACACGTACATGCCAGGTTTTCAGTCCCTCTGCACCCCCAGATGCTTCATTTAACTATCACTGACTGAAGTTCCCTTTTTCTTTCTCACCCTTATTTCCCCACTCTGCTATTGCTGCAATTCAGTGTTGGGGAAGCTGAGTTGTGCCTTTCTATTCCTTGTTTCTCTCCTTGTGCCTAGAGGGCCCAGACCAAATCAAAAAACAATTAAACTAAAAGATTGGTTGTGAAGAGCAAAGCAAGTTTTATTTACTAATCATATTCAATCAATTTTTTGAATAAGGGCTTTGTTAAGTAGTAAGCTGCTCATCCTTAGAAGTGGTCAAGGAAAGGCTAGTTGGCTATTTTTTCATCTCTCTGGGCCTTAGCTTCCTCTTCTGCATATGAAATAGTGGGGACCAGATGGTTTCTAGGGGCCTTTTCAACTCTGACATTCTATGATCCATTACCTGCCAGGAGTGTTAAAATCTTAACACCTGAAGCAGGGAAGAGACAAGACTAATGATTAAAGCCGAATGTGTGAATATCTGAATATCATATGCTTGTGATTGAAGGAAAGTCTTAACTTGGGGCAAATAGAATAAACAAAATCAACTATTTTATAACACATCTTATTAATGATAGTTTTGGTGCTACAAAATCTTACATTAAAATGGAAAATATGAAATATGATTTCAGTTCACCTGCTTTGGTAGAACAGTTGGTAGGGATGAAGTCTGTGGCTCTGAGTATCAGATGAAAATCCATGTGGCTCTGAGTATCAGATGAAAATCCATTTGGCCACATGACCCTTAAATTTTCCTCCAGTTCTTAATTTCTTTGGTTATTTAAATGGGATTTCCTGCCTAGCAACAGGCTTAGCTTGATTTAGAAAAGTAAAAGTAAGCTTTCAAATTTTCCTGAATAGGAAAGTAGATTTTGGTATGTATGACAGGAGGTGAAAAAAAGCAGTGAACTTTTAAATTAAAGGCCATGGTGGTGATGATCTAATATCTGGGGAATATTTGCCTCCTTTCTCAGGATCCATTCTGAAGTCATGGAATATGTACTTGAAGATTATGTATGCAAAGCAATCCTGGAATTTAGCAAATCTGTGTAATGACCCTAAGCACCAAACTTTGAGGCCCCTCATTTCATTCTTCTGGGAGGTTGGACCCCAAGAACAGGTGGGACTCCTCCTCCCCCAGGTATCTTCTCTGGCTTCCCTTGAGCTTCCCTGCACTCCACACTCTCCTATCCCATCCTAGGTCACTGTAGCTCTTTTGTGATATCTTTCCCCCTAATATCTGTTCTTTCTGCCAATTTAAGCTTGATTCATTCTGGATAAAAGCATTGGAAAAGCTATAGCCTATGATTTGCCCCAGGCTTCACTCTAGATGGATGCCCTCATCATGCCTATGAATGTGTGCCCATGAGTCAAAGGGATGTATGAACAAATATTCATGAGTGAATGGTGGAGTCTTTTTCACAGTCTGGCAAAGCATTTTTGCTGAGCAAACTCTGTTTCCCAAAAACTTTAGCCAAAACCATAGTCTGTGTTAAGTTCAGGGTTCCACAACTTTTAAGGGACACAGAGAACTGGGACAGGAGCCAAAGCAGGACACTGAAATGAGGAAATGGCTAGCAACTAAGGTCCAGAGTAGAAATAAAAAGAAGACTATTCAACCTTGAGAAGCTATTAACTTAATCATTGTCTCTGAGGCATCATTAGGTAGAAAGTCTCTGTTCACATCAGAGTCTGAACAAAAGGAAATTAAAATCTCAGCAAGATGTATCAACCTAAACAATGCCATACTGGGTTAGGTCAGGGTCCCCCTGAAGTAGGATTTTGACCTGCTGTGAAGCCAAGGAATGTCAAAGTGTAAGAATGTACCTGCAAATAGACCTAGGTTCCCTTAATAGCCTCTTCCCTTAAAGAAGTCATCATTTGTTCATTTTTATGAGCTCCTTTTGCTGGGCAAAAGTTTCCTTTTATCAATGTTTGCCTTAAATTTACCTTTTAAAAGTGTCAATAAGGTAGTGCCAAATCTGTATTCTAGGATTTGATATACCTTATCCATATTCTCTAATACTAAGGACTGCAGCTTTGTTCCTTTATGTTTTGTTTTGTTTTGTTTGAGTTGAAGTCTCAGTCTCCGGCGATCCTTCCGCCTCAGCCTTCCAAGTAGCTGGAACTGCAGGTGCCTGGCTAATTTCCCTTTTTATCTGAAGAATTTTTTGTTTTGTTTGGGTCTGTCTCCACAAAGAAGTCTCTTCGTCCCTTTGGCCATCATAGATATCCTTCTCTGGGCTTTCTCCAACTATATTATTTCCTTCTTGAGGTCTGGTGACCAGAACTACATACAATAATTCAAGGGCAGCACACAGCTTGGTTTTCTTTCTTTCCTTCCTTCCTTCCTTCCTTCCTTCCTTCCTTCCTTCCTTCCTTCCTTCCTCCCTTCCTTTCTTCCTTCCTCTTCAGCAATCCTTCCACCTCAGCCTTCCAAGTAGCTGGAACTACAGACACGTGCTACCATGCCGGCTATTTTTTATTTATTGTAGAGACGAGGTCTCATCAAGTTGCCCAGGCTGGTCTCAAGCCCCTGGGCTCAGGCAATCCTCTCACCTTGGCCTCCCAAAGTGCTGGGATTACAGGTTTGAGCCACTGCCCCCGGCCACCTTGGTTTAATAAAAGAAAAAATATGGTCTGTGGATCTGAAAACCATCCTCCTCTGCTGTTACTGTATAGGTGCATCACTTATATTGTATAAACGTTAGGGCTATTGTGTTGTTTTATTATGATGCTACCCTGTTGAGGTCTACAAAAGTGTAAAATCATTTGAAGTCATTCAGAGATGTAGGAGAAAACTCAGAAATAAAAACTGTGAAGAAAGCCCTTGGCATCCAGGAAGAAAGGGATCAGTGGTTTTTAAATCTATACTCTAAGAAGTGTAGATGTTCAGGAATGTGTGTCTAGCTAATAGGATTTAAGATGGCACACATAGATTTACCATGTTACCATGTTTGTGGGTTGGAACAAGTCAACCCCAATGAGGCTGAATTGGTTGGGTGACTTTGGAGACAACTAAAATGTCCATCACAGTTGAATAGATAAACTGTGGTATATTCATGCAATGGAATACTATACGGCAATGAAAGCAAACCAATTATAACAACATAGATGAATCTTACAAACTTGGTGTTCAACCAGACACAAAAGAATGCATAAAGAATTGTTAGGCTGCAATTCTCCCAAACTGATTTATAATTTAATACATTACCAATAAAAATCCCAGGAGGTTTACTTTGTGATTTTGGTCCAAAAATAGACAAACAGATCAACAGATCAGAATAGAGAGTCCAAAAACTGACTTAAATATGATTGCTCAATATTTATTTATTTATTCATTCCTTCTTTCAAATCAGAGTCTCACTCTGTCATCCAGGCTGGAGTGCAGTGGCATGATCACAGCTCACTGCAGCCCTGACCTCCTGGGTTCAGGTGACCCTTCTGCCTCAGTTTCCCTAGTAGCTAGGACTACAGGCATGTGCCGCCACACTCAGATAATTTTTTTTTATTTTGTAGAGATGAGATCTCACTATATTGCCTAGGCTGGTCTCAAATTCCTGGGCTCAAGCAATCCTCCCGCCTCGGCCTTCCAAAGTGCTGGGATTATTTACAGGCATGAGACACAGTGCCTGGCCACATTGCTCAATTTATAACAAAGATGACACTGCAGTGCTGTAAGGAAAGATTTATTTATTTTTCAATAAATAGTGCTGGGCCACGTAGGGAAAAAAAAGAATCTTGATGTTTACTTCATATCTTACACAAATATCTATTTTGGATGGATTATAGATATGAATATGAAAGGTAAAACAATAACACTTGAAAAAGATAACATAGAAGAATGTCTCCTTGACTTAGGGGCAGACACACATCTCTCAGATGGCACAAAAGTGGTAACCATAAAAGAAGAAAATGATATGTTGGACATAATAATATTAAGAGCTTCTTTTCATGAAAAGATACCACTTAGAAAGTGAAAAGGCAAGCCATAGAGTGGGAGAAGAATTTGCAATACATATATCATATAAAAGACTCACACCCAAAAAATATATTTTAAGCTACTACAAATCAATAGTTTTTTTTAAATCCAAACAACTCAATAGAAAAATGAGCAAAAGACTTGGAATGGGTACTTCACAAAAAAGGATATTCAAATGGCTAATAAAAATATGAAAAAAGCTTAACTTCATGGTTTCAAACTATAATTTGATACCACCTCATATTCACTGGTATGGCCAAAATGAAAAAGAGAAAATAAAAGTGTTGGTGGAGATGTGGAGCATCTGGAACCCACATACATGTTGGCCATATCTACTAAAGCTAAACACATACATATCCTATAACTCAGCAATTCTAATCTTAGGAATATCCCCCAAGAAATGTGTATATCTGTTTGCCAAAAGACATGCACTAGAATGTTTAACAACTCTACTCATAAAGCCCCAGTAAGGCTGAACTGGTTGGGTGAGTTTGGAAACAACTAAAATATCCATCATAGTTGAATAGATAAATAAACTGTGGTATTTTCATACAATGAAATACTATACAGCAAAGACAGCAAACAAATTACAACACAGATGAAGCTTACAAACTTGGTGTTCAGTCAGACACAAAATAATGCATACATATGCTTCCATTTATAGAAAGTTCAAAGACATGCAAAATTAATCTGTATTAGAAGTTAAGATACCACCGTAATCCTAGAGAGAGGGCAATAGTAACTGAAATAGTATGGGAGTGACTTCTAAGGTGCTAAAATGTTCTACTTCTTGATCTGGGAAAGATTACATGGATTGGTTAACTTTTAAGATTCACCAAGCTGTATCTTTATTCTAAATGCATTTTCCTGTATATAATTTGTAATTACAATAAAAAAGATAGCACCTACAATGTGGAGGTGAACTTAGGGCTAAAAAGTGTAAAGCCCAGCAAGAAACTTGTTTTTATTGGATCTCTAGAGGATGGAATAGTTCTAGAATCCCAGAGAGCAAAACCTTGAAAATCAGATTATCTAGATTTATGGAAGGCTGTGTTTATATCTGTTAGTTAATGTCCTAGTCTCTAGAAAAACCTTGCTTGAATATTCCATGAATTGAGCTGTGATGAATTTAGGAAAGCCTCATTTGTTCATATTAGGGCAAGATGACTGCATGTTACTTGTCTCGGGGCTAGCTTGGTGGTTGCTGCCATAGCACAAGAGATTAAGGAAAATCTTTGGGAACCAGAGCCACATGGTCCAAGCCTCCTTTTAGTAATAATCTTAGAAATGACATTTCCCAGCTTCCCTTGCAATTAGTATGGCCATGTGACTGAATTCTAGCCAACCGAACTAGTGGAAGTGATATGCACCATGTACAGACTTGGTTTAGTAAAACTTTCATTGTATGTTCCTCCTTTTTTTTTTTCCCCCTTCTTTTTTAAAAAAAATCCTCTACCTGGAAGAAATGGAGATAAATCTCAGGGGTGATCTTTAGAAGCACATGTTAAAGTTGATAGAGCTCCATTAGCTTGGTCCCTGAAAAACTTCCTGGAGCAGAGTCCTTCCTCATCGAGGCCCAGTCTGGAGCTACCCTGGACCTATCACACAGTTAATGGCAGGAATTTAAATTCTGGAATTTATTGGTCCCAGAAGCCGGCATCTTCCTAAGTAATATATTAAGCACCGCAGGAATTCCTTCTATAAGTTCAGCCTGTATTGCTCTAGTCCACAGCAGTACAATGACCTGAGCCTACATGTGCCTCTTACCTGTTATAGGTCATAACTAATATCTTATTAGCATACTTTATATTTAGCTTTTTGGATATATTTAGGTTTAGATTTTTTGGTATATTTATCACCTTTTGATTTTGCCTAGTCACACTGACTGACAAAATCTTTCTGTAATTTTCATTACCATTTGACGACCTGAAAGAGTTTAGGGACAGTTCTGCTTTATATGTTTGATTGTGCCTTCCTATTCCCAATTCACTATCTACGTACATTCCGCTCTCATTATTTCCTCAACTCATTGCAATTTTCACTAAACCTAACAGTTACCTCTTAATTGCCATACCCAATGGACTCTTTCAGGTCTTTGTCATACCAGACCTCTTTGATATGTTTGCTGGTATTGATTTATCCATGAAAACTCTCAACTCCCTTGACTTTCTGCTTCTAGTTCCCCTTCTATCTCTCTGACTATTCCCTTTTGCTTTCCTTAATGGGCTTTTCTTCCTTTGTCTTCCTCTACAAATCTTGAGGTTACTTGATACTTTATTTTTAGTCCATGTTTTCCATTTTCCTGGGTCATATTATTCATTCCCATTGTTTTAACTCTCATCTCTACGCTGACAGCTTCCAAATCTTTCTCCAGCCCTGACTTTCTGCCACTCAGTTTCAGGTTATTTAACATTTCACAAGGAAGTCTCATAATTGTTTCAACCTAAACTTGAACAATACTAATCATCATGTCCGCAACCCTATTTCTTTTTTTTGTTTTAAGTTTCATACAGCAATCCTCCCTCACTGCCTGGATTTTCCCACTTCCTATCAGTCACTAGGTCTTGACTTTACCTCCAAAAGTTTATCTCAACATGCCTCATTCCCTTTATCTTTATTATAATTCCAGTCCATGTTATTTCTTTCCTGTACTATTGCAATAGCATTGCTAGAGCAGAATTTCATCCAGCCCAAATTCTATGTTGAAGTTCTAACTGTCAGTGCCTCACTACATGACCTTATTTGGCAATGGCAGATCTAGTAAGTTAAGATGAGGTAATACTGGAGCAGGGTGGATCTACTCCAGTATGTGTCCTTCTAAGAAGGGGAAATTTGGAAACAGACATGCAAACAGGGGAAACACATGAAGGCTGGAGTAATGCTGCCACAAGCCAATGAGTGAGCTATCTGAAAGTACATCTAACCCTATCAGTCCCCAAATTAAAAAAACCATTCCATTCCCTGCCCCCATCCATTGTTTACAGATTATATCCCAGGCTCCTGAGTCTGGTTTACCAGGCTCTTGCTTACCTCAATTCATACTTTCCTCTCCAGAAATGATGAGTTGCTCGACTCTACCTAAACACATGATGCCATTTCAAGTTTTGCCCATTTCGTCAATACCAATGCCCACTTGCACTCATACCTATTTTTCTCATCCTTTAAAATTTAATGCAGACATTCCTTCTACTCGGAAACCTCCCTTGATATTCCCCACCCCACCCTCACCTTCCAGCACTAGTACCAGCTACATAGATGGAGGTAGGTGACATTTCTCTGATTCCTATGCATTGTCTACATATCTGACTCATGGTAGTTCCTGAAGTTTATTAAAATGATCTCTGTATCTGTTTGCCCCACTAAGTTGTAAATTCCTAGTTTCCCCATAATTGTGTGTGTGCATGCCTGTGAGTGTACACATAAATACACAAATTTAAAATAAGATCAGTTCTCCAAGGAGTTGGTAGGGGGCGATATAGGAGATAGGTATCTATAGATATAGAGTGAATTACGGATAGGTTGAAATGACTATCCCACAGCATAAGGCTCATTATCTCCAAAGCTTCTTTCATCTGTCTTGCTGTTTTCCATTCAGAGAAGCCAGTGTGTGTGTGTTGGAGGGGGTGGAATTGGGGAGGAACAAAAAGATTTCCCCCACTCCTTCCTCCAAGTCCCACCATAATACCTTGGAAAGAATGCTGGACTGGCCCACGCCAAAAAGTCATCCCATAAGAAATGGCCCAGCGCCCTCCATTTAATGTACTGAATGCCGTGGGAGCGCAAAGTCATGCAGCCTTTTGGAGGAGGGGGGCAGGGGCCGGGTGGGAGGCACACGGAATGAAGAAATACGTTCAACACTAATGCCTGAATTCACTGAGATGCTTCCCACGGCAGCTGAGCCCTCTCCCCTCCTCCCACCCCAAAGGCATCCAGGCCCTCTGTCTTCCCTCCCTCTCCTGTAAAAGCCCCAGGTTCTTTCTCCAGACCCTTCCTTACCCTTCTGGTCCCCTACCTGTCTGGATCAGAAGAAGGTAGACAAAAGGAGTGAGGCGCAGGGCCCTGGAGGCTCTGGACAGGGCTCCCCTTTCTCTCTTCATTTCGGGTGACATTCTCCAGCTCTGGTGCAGACAATTAGCATGATTTCTCCACTCTGGGCACGTCCCTTTGTACCACTCGGAGTTTCTCTGCCCGAACACAACCCTGCCAACTTCCCTCTGAATACACAGAGCTCTGTGTATTGCTGTACTTGTTCTTCCCTCTCTCTCAGACCTGGCATTTTCTAGTTTGCAAGTCCTACATCCCCAGTTTGGAAGGGAGTATCTACTTAGGAGATAATTTCCAATGCAGGTTCCAATGTGGGGTGCACTGGTGGCTCATCAGTGCATCGCTTGTCCCATGCTGAGCCCCACAGCAGGGGAGATGAGGATCTGGGCTCAGTGAAGGCACTGGGCTGGGACTCACACTCAAGTGGACTTTGTGTTCCCGTCTACCCTGTCTCCACCTCATACTCCTTGTTCCTGTGGAGGAGGGTACATGCCAGGACAGACCTCCAATAAGCTCTGAAAGGGAGGGAGAGGAGCTTTTAAAAAGTTGGGAAATGAGAGATGCCAGAGAATTGCTGAAGAAATGGAAAAACCCTGTTTTGCCCCAAAGGAAGAAGGCTGGACAAGAGCTTGAAATCTGTTACTTTTACACTTGTCCTCAACCTGCTTGGGATTCTCTCTCCTATCTTAGAATCGCGTAGATGCTGGGGACCTCTTTCCAGAAGCCACTCTGTTCATTCTCCTGCCTCCAACCAATATTCGAGAACATGGCAGAGCAAAGATGAAGGTAACAGTCAGCATCCTGGGCTTGTTAACAGTTTAACAGCCCAACCGTGCCCTCCTGTCTTGAGGCTACAAAGGGAAGAAACTCTCTAGCCCTACCTGAAGCCTATACTCTTGAGGACTGCCAGTGGAGTGAATCCTGTGATCTTGGGATGAGCTCACAACCTCTTTGAGCCTCCAATTTCTTATCTGTAAAATGGGGAAAACAATACATTCCTTGGAGGAATTGTTGGGAGGAATGATGACAATTTGGTACAAAAGTGTGCCTAGCAATTCTTTCTTACAGAGATGATATTTTACACTTTTTAAAAACTGCCTTTTCCTCTTTCTTTTTTTTATTTAGGGATCTTTATATCTTGGTCAGACCAAAGTTCATAGCACTCATCTTAGTCATATCTAACTCTGGTTTGAGTTTTGAAAATGCAGCTATTTTCTCACTAAATATTCTTTTTACATACTGGAGAAAACCCAAGGAGGCCAGGTTTCTAGATCTGAGGTGTCACTGCATAAATCTATCTGAGCCAAGGCAGGAGGAGAAAATTTGAGAAAACTTCACAGAGGAACTACAAAAGATATTCTGAAATAAATAAATGGGATTTTTTTCCCTCCTTGGCATTTCTGTGTCTATGACTTTTCCCTAGACAACTCAAGGTAGCTGTCTGTCTCTGGAAAAGCTAATGTTGTTACAGCAGGCACACAAACAAAAAAGTCAATATTCAACTTCTGAAATTTAAAATAGTATTTTAAAGTCAATAGCAAGATGAAAGCTTAAAAACCAATTTTTGTTAGAGACAAAAGGATATTAATTTATTTTATCTTCCTCTTTGACACATAGTGGAGTAGACTGTGGACCCGGATCACAAAGTCCTTCTACAGTATAGATAAATGGCCCCTTTTGCCTGTGATGATAAGGCCTTGAGGCTTACTGGATGGGGATAAAAGAAAGATATGATACTGAGGAAATAGAAAGCCTGAAGTCTGCCTTTTCTTCTTTTTTTTAATCCTGAAGGACTGTGGAAAGAAAAATGTGATAGAGGGAAACGTAAGAGAATCTAAGCTCTCAGCATCCCCACCTTACCCTCCCCAGAGATGGCACTAGGCTCCTTCTACCCACACAGAATTTGCAAGAGCCTCAAGGGGCCCACAAGGCCTTGAGGAGACACAGAAGTGCTGAGGGGATAAAGAACAGGCAGAAAGATGGAGCAAAGGCACTACAGTGTATATAGATTTGGAGGTCAGAGGCAATAGCCAGGGCCACCCACAGCTACGGTGGGAGCTAGCCTGTAGCCCATCAGACAAGGGAGCAATCTGTGCTCTGGGCCAAGACCAATGGGAAACCAGGGAATACCACACAGGTCCACGGACACTCTCCCCCAGTTGCTAGACAGTCACCTCAGGCACACTACCTAATTCACTCTAACCCTTCTTACAAGGAGCTGGGAAAGAGAGGAGGAAATTGGAAAGGCTGCTTGAGCAACTGCCTGAGCTACGTAAAGAGAACGTTAAAATGACTGGCTCATGCTGGGCTTACTGAGATGAAGTGACATTTAGTTTTCCTCAACACGTACTGTTGATTTCAGCCATCCTGGCTTACCTTGTGTTACCTTCATTGTGTTCTTTGAGTTTTTCCTTCCAGATGTGTGTCTCATCACATGAGAGGCTCATGTGGGTGATCATGGTAACTACAAATACACAAAGGCACTAGCTTTTCTTTGCATGTCTGAGTGTATATTGAAAATCTGCTCCCTGTGCTTTTGAGATGAGTAGGCCTTTAGGAGCTTATAATCTTCTGCTTATGTAGCATTCTTCTCTAATAAACAGAGAGCTCTTTGATTTAAAGACTGTGTCTACAGGGCAGTACACATAGTAGGTGCTCAATAGACAGCTGCTGAATATTGAATGAATGAGCATTTGCCCTGGCTCCTTCCAGGGGGGCTTCTCAAGCAGCTGAATACACTGAAGGACAACTGGGGGAGGGGTAAGAAAAAGAGGGAGAGCTGGGGGTGGAGGAGCTGTGAAATAATGACTGCAGATGACAGGCTAGTTTGTGGACATGTATGAGGCACACTTTTGGGAATTCCTAGAACTAACTGGGGCTCACTTTGAGGAGGGACACCAATCCAATAGGTAATTGAGTTACAGAGATATGAGGCAACAGTCTCACACATAACATGTACTGTTGATTTCAGTCATCCTGGCTTACCTTGTGTTTTTTGAGTTTTTCCCTCCAGGGGTGTGTCTCATCTAATTGTTGATGATGCCGTTGGTTGTTTGTTTTTGTTCGTTTAAGAAATATTCTTATTATAAATATTATAATTCTTTAATGTCAATTATATATTTATACTTGTTCATCCACATGTCCAGTGTTCAGCTCAGAAGGTGTGGTTACTGTGGCATCTCCTCGTTAGCCTTTGGGGTTCTCCTGAGCAGGGATTGTAATTCGTCATTCCTCTGGGTCTCCTCACAGTGCCCAGTTTTGAGCTTTGAATAATATGGGTGCTTCAACAATGGGGTAGACTTACTGCTTGACTGACAGCAGTAATCTCCTTGCTTAGCTAAAGCCCTTGTTCCTGCCTACTCTGAGCACTCCAACAGATTCATTTCCAAGAGTATTGTCCTCTTCTGAGTAATGGCCCAGTTCTCTTGGTCCCTTTGCTGCACACAGTTGCTTCAGGATACTCTTCATGTGGCAATCCCCCTGGGGCTCCGGGATCCTGATCCTCACCCCTGACCCCACAACAGCCCTGGCCTACTCTACTCATACCTATGCACAGAACAACCAGAGAGAGCCCCTGTAGCTCAAAATGGAACCCCACAACACACACATATCCACCAGCTGAAACTCAGAAGTATGTGTGTCTAGAACAAGAGGAAGGAGGAAGCTAGTGATTTTAACTGAGACACCATCCTATTCCCACCTCTGTGGGAATTGACGAAACAAATAAAAAGGCAGGCTGAGGAATTGTAAAAATGAGCTTTGTCTTCCAAGAAGTGAAGGTTTTGTAGGAATGGCAGGACAGTCACGAGCAGTGAACTCACCCTGTAGCAGAGACATTTGAGATAACCATGTCCCATTTCTTCATTTCTCAAAAGAGGAAACTGAGGGACAGAGGGGTAATCTTCCCAGAGTTAAACTGTTGTCTACTAATGGATCCAGTACTCCTAAAGTTACTTACATACAAACAAGCAAAAAGTATTAAAAAATAAAGTTACTTCATAGTAGAGGCAAGAAAACACACACACACAGACATGATGTGTACATAAGTACCATTTTAAATAGCTCAACTATTAGATGTAAGAGTGTCCCCACCCAGGGAAGAATGATAATGCTATTAGAGATGCTTTGATATTGTTCTTACTAATACTACCATTATTAGTGGTGATTTTTATATTTAGCACTCATCCTCCCCTTCATTCACTTCCTGCTATGGAGTCATGTCTGTCTCCTCCACTTAATTGTAAACAATCTTTGGTATTAGAATGAAAACAAATCTTCCAACAAATAGTACCAAAAATCTTGTGAGTGAGGATATTTCCTTTAGTGAGAAGAATACCCAGATATGCCACATGGAGTAGAAAGTAAGATTTTGAGCATAGAGTCAAGGAACAAAAAGATACACTGCTCTGTATTAGAAATAATCAGAAATTGGGGGATAAGGAAAGAACAGAGAGGAGAGAGACAGGGAGAGGGCATAGAAGATCAATATTGTAGGGAACTGATGAAAATATAAGAGCCATTTGCATTTTTTCACTATAAATCTCCCCTCCTTTGTCTTCTTCAAAACTTTCAGATAAATTTATTGCACTCAAATACCGTATGTGTGTGCTTCTAGTCAATAGAAGATGCCAAAGGTGACAGGACAACCACTTCCTTGATTAGGTTACATTATAGAAAATGCAGACCCAGAGAGAGACTGTCTATTGTATTGCCACGTCGTGAGATGGTTATGTGGCAAGGAACCGTTGGCCTTTTCCAATAGTTGAGAGCAGCCCTCAGCCAACAACCAGCAGGAAAATAGGAGCCTCAGTCCTACAACTACAAGGAACTGAATTCTTTCAACAACCATATGAGCTTCAGAGAGGAATTTGGATCAGCTGACTCCTTACATGAAGTCTGGTGCAACCCTGAGCAGAGGACCTAGCTAAGCTGTAACTGGACTTCTGAACCACAAGTACTATAAGATAAAAAAATCTATATGCTGTTTAAAGTTGCTGAATTTGTGGGCTTTTGTTTTTTGTTTTTTGGGTTTTTTTAGAGTTGGAGTCTCACTCTGTCACCCAGTCTAGAAGGCAGTGGCACACTCATGGCCACCCCAGCATCAACCTGCTGGGCTCAGGTGATCCTTCCACCTCAGCCTTCCAAGTTGCCGGAACTACAGGCACGCACTACCACACCCGGCTAACTTTTGATTTTGTAGAGATGAGGTCTCGCCAAGTTGCCTGACCTGGTCTTGAACCCACGGGCTGAGGCAATCCATTCTCCTCAGCCTCCCAAATTGCTGGGATTACAGGCTGAGCCACCGAGCCCGGCCGGTCATTTTTTAAGTAGTATAGAAAACTAATACAGATTTGTGTGTGTGTGTGTGTGTGTGTGTGTGTGTGTGTGTGTGTGTGTGTGTGTGAGCTATTCCTCACTCTGTTATTTATTTAATTCTTCCAGTACTCCTATTAGGTAAA